GTATCCTCCTCCAAGTATGGGGCATAAGGTTCCATCCTAGTCCTACTATATGGATCCTCCCTGGGTTTGTAGTACCTTGGCCCAGTGGGCAATGCATACTTTTCGTAATTAACATCGTCTTGCTCATCTATGGCAGCAAACGAGACCAATCATCTTGGTCATGATGCTGGTGTAGGAGTCTGAGGGTCTCCTAGCATGGATTCATCTCCTCCTGCTTGATCTTCTGATTGCGAGAACTCAATCATCTCTTCTCTGCTTAGGTGAGCACAGTGAAGTCGCTCTTCTTGTTGGCCTTGCCTGGTGAGCTCGAGTTGGGCTTCTAATAGTGCTAGAAGCCGGTTGAGCTTATCGTTGAGGCCTTGGTCTGTCATCGTGATCGTGGGGTGCTGCTTGAACGATCCACTCTAATGTCAGCAGTCGCGCACCTGAAACCTGAGATCAGTAGTAGTATCTGTACTATCACCGATTCTGTTGAATTATGCAACAGTGCTAATGGTATTTCGATTCTTAGTGAAATATGTGACAGAGCCTTCTCTGTCACCTTTCTTGTTAGAATCTGTAGTTGTATTATCATTATGACAGATTTCGACTAACCGCTGTGGACACTCCATCCAGAGGTAGCTCGGCACAATCAAACTATAATATGACTCTAAGTGAGCTTGATATTGACACCAATGGTCTGGTGTGAGTATGGATTGTTGATGCCAACATGAGTGTCCAGTGTGTCGACTAATGCTTGAAGTGATCCCCAGGCCACAGTGGACATCTGCCTTCAGTTCTATGGTTATCTGGACTGCTGGTTGCTACAAACCACCTTCGGATGTCAGGAAATGGTGATACAACACATGCACTTCAATGAGGAGCAATCTGTTGATTACTACTATGCTGACTGTGAACTAATCAATACTTATTGCTTGAAGTAATACTAGTTGCTTGATGAGTGTAGAGTGGATGGATCCACTCGACCATTCATGACAAGAAGGTATGCCTATATATCTCTTCGCAGCATCGCCAGCGACACTGCTCCTGCTCTCTCTCTCTCCAGAGAGTACCCTCTTTGTCAAGTATTGTACAGGTGTCTCCAAGGAGGCACCTCCTCCATATCAGACCTTGTCCCTCCTGTCTTACCTGAGCTGTGTCAACTTCATTGACACTGCTCCTCTTCTTCATGTCCCTTTCGCCGGTGTCCTTTACACAGCTCTCTGTCATGGGCCTGGATGCTCAAGAAGCAGGAGGGTCACTGGTTCATATGGAAGGAGCACAGGTATCGAAGATCTAGTCGATACCAGCAGAGAGCATGGTCGTAGTGCAGTCTCCATGGAGACCATGGACTCCTACAGACTCACATGCAAAGGAGGACACGAGCCACATGCGAGGAGGGCCAGGCACAGCCACGAGGAGGACCAAGCTCAAGGAGCAGGCACAGCCACGAAGAGGACCAAGCTCAGATGGTTACCACTCAGGGGCTCGAGAGACAAGAGTCAAAGGAACTGTCACTGGTCAAAGGAGAAGGAGCAGTGTATAGGACACTAGCAGGCAGGTCCTGAGGAAGAGGAGCAGTGTCAAAGGAGTCGACACCACTCAAGAGGCACAGGGGTGCCAAGCAGGAGAGGCCCCTGAGCAGTACTCGATGAAGAAGGTACTCTCTGGAGAGAGAGCAGGAGCAGCATCGCTGGCGATGCTATGAAGAGGTATATAACCATGCTTTCTCATCATCATAGGTCGAGTGGATCCTCATCCACTCTACTCACCATAACTAGTTATCACTTCAGCATAAGTATATATTAGTTTCAGTCAGCATAGCAGCAATCTATCAAGGTTGCTCCTCATTGTAGTGTGTGTGTTGTATCACCACTACCTGATGTCCGAAGGCACCCATAGCAGGTTAGCAGTCCAGATCAAGAAAAAACCAAAGGCAGTAGTCCACTGCAGTCCAGGGATCACTTCAAGCATCAAGTCAACACACTGGACACTCGTGTTGACACCACCAACCTTATCACCAACACCATCAACCTCATTATCATCAACACCCACCAACCTTATCACCAACGTCATCAACGTCATCATCATCAACACTCACACCAGACCTTGGTGTCATCATAACATTGATATTGATCGTGCCGAGCTACCCCTGAACGGAGTGTCCACAGAGGTCAGCCGAAACCTACGATAGTATATACAACAAATGCCACCTGCTGTCACTGTGCAACTTGATAGTCACCAATACTGAGACAATAGCTGTCGCACAGTTTGATAGTCACCGAGTATCTCGACAGACCGACCTGGGTTTCAGGCGCGAGACCCCTGACACTCTCCTTCCTCTGACCGGTGACAGTTCTCTTCTACTCCTGTCCTGTGGGCCCCTGAGTGGTAACCGACCGCTTGTCACTGAGCTCGGTCCCTCTCGCATGTGAATCATTGTACAGACATCCTTACTACCGATCTCCGTGGAATCTGCCACATGATTTTGCTTGCTGCAGATTCTGGTGGGATTCGTGATATTGATGATGCTCGTGCCGATTTCGCTGTGGTCTGCCATAGAGCAGATTCTATTGCCGATCTCGGTGAACTCTGTCACAGCTCCTACGATCTACCTGATTCCACGATTCCTGCGCTACCTTCATATGAACTTCGGTCTTTCCTCGTTCTGCGCACCCAGGCCCATGACAACCTTGTCTGCTTGTACACTTTCATATGCAAGCAAAGGTACACAATCACACATTACACTCCTCTTGGCCGTGCTGATAAGCTTATCCACCTTCTCAACAGGTACAAATCAAGCAATCATAGGATGTATCATGGACTTGTTCATATGTTGCCTGAAGCATTCAACAATCTCACCATCTGACTCCAGCAAACAGAGGCTTTCCAGTGGAACTACAGCAGCTCAGGTGTGATGTCTCTCAACAAAGTGCAAGAGATTCTTTCAGTGGCTCTGTACAGACTTGGCCATTCTGGAAATGGAGGTGGTGAACATGATGCTGCTTTGCAATGTGGCTGTGGTGTTGGGAGCATTGTTGGATACACCAATCACACAGTCACTGGCCTCCTTGAGCTAAACAATGAGGTCATGCAGTTTGCTTCAGAGGGAGAGAGACAACATGCTTCTGCCTGGGTGTGCAATACAACTGGGGTTGAAGAGTGGGGTAAGGGCTGGCTTGTGGTGGATGGCACACACATCCCTCTTGCCTGGAAGCCAGGAGTGCTCTGTCAAGAGCACTTCTGCTACAAAGGCTTCCACAGCATCAATGTAGTGCTGGTGATCCTGCCACACTCACTGTGGATTGTTGAATCAGTTGTTGGACAGCCTGGCAGTGTTCAGGATTCGAAGGTTTGGGCCTCAGGCAGCAACATCCTGAAGAAGCCTTGCCTGTACCTTGACAAAGGTGAGTTCATCTGGGTTGATGGTGGATATGGCCATTCTGCCTTCACAGTTGGACCATTCTCTCACATTGCTGCCGACAAGAGTTGAGACCTTCGACACTTCAACTACATGCTCTCTCAAGTCCGAGTATGAGTCGAACATGCCATTGCATACCTGAAGAACTGCTTCCAGTGCCTTACAGGCTATCATGGTAACATCTACTGTTTCAAGGACTGCATCACTGCTGCCAAGACAATCCAAGCCTGCATTGTTGCCCACACCTTTGCAAGTCAATATGACCATCCTGCTGATATTGCCAACCTGCTGTTGCCCTCTTTCTCTGAGGATGAGGTGAGTGAGGTTGTTCAAAGCCTCCAACTTGAAGCCAGTGATACACAAGAGCTCAGGAGGACAAGATGCACAAATCAGCAGGAATACAAACTGGATCTTGCCACTGCAACACAAGGAATGTCACAGTATGCAGTGTCAAGACTTTGAAGTTCTGCTGCACATGATCTTCAAGAGGGTTTGTTCCAGGTGCTGTTCAGATCCACTGGGCACAATGAGGAAGACACTACTGCATTGTCTCAACATCATGAGAGGACTACTGTGGACTACATTGCCATGACTCAAAGCACATCAGCTTGGAGACAGGAGCAAGTCTTGACACAACCATTCTCAATCTGACAGGCACTCTCTCTTCTTCTGTTCAATACAATTCTTCTCACCACCATATGAAACATTACATTGAGTGCATTGTGTGAAGAGGAAAGCAAGATATAAGCAAGCAGTGGGTAATAGCGATGAGAGTGACAAGTAACATGACCACTGTTAGGTTATGTATTTTATCAGCTGTATGATTTCATCATGTTTTTGGAAACCTGCTTTTCCTTGGGGGGGGGTTCAAATTCCCTCCAAAAATGCGCTCTCGAAAAAACCCGCGTTTTTAAAATCGCAAAAACTTTGATACCCCCTAAAGTCAATTTGGTTGAACAATCAGGTAACACCAATAGTAGGGAGGAATTGGAGACAACCACGTCCCACCCCTTGTTACACATCATCATTAGGTAGGGTGCACTCACACTTGGGTATGTGCCACACATTTGTATATATATCAAGCAGGGAGCACCAGGCTCACGCCGCATTCAGTTAGTCAATTTAGTATATGTTTCTGCCTTAAAAGAGTAGTGACATCGTACTTAGACTATCCCCGATCGCCAGTATCGGGACCCAAACGACGTCAAACTTCCACATTGAGTGGATTGCGACACGGATGCGCACGCCTTGTCACGTGCAACAAGAATGGAAAGCGTGTGTGAATTGGTTTTGGCGTGCACGGTCCACAATCCTGAAATTCCGAGTTGAGAATCAAGTGGAGCCAAAAATTGCATTGCACAGACCCTGAAAGAGTTCTCTCTTTCACACCATCATCATCAGCGTAACCCTGCACCACAAGCTTCTGACACACTGTCCAGTGCTCACCAACGCAAAAGGTCCAGACTAGCCATCTTGACTCAGCACGTCGGCTGTCTTGACGCAGCTGCCATGTCGCCATAGAGCTAATCTTTCCAACCCAAAATCCTTTCCCTTCTCGGTCACATCCCAGCACCCATCTCCGGGCTAGTTCTGACCGACGATGAGCGACCTTCGCATACATGCAGCTCTAGCGCCCCGCGTAGCCGTCCTCTCCAGCCCAGACGTAGACCGTATCATCCAATTCAACAACATCCCCGATCTCCCTACCCTCCTCCGACCATTCGAATCCTCGGTCGAACGACTCTCTGTTCGAACCTCACAACTCGAGACAAGAATATGCGATCGTTTCCCACTCCGATTCGATCCTTACTCGCTCTTCAACCCCGATGCTACTCACGACCTTAGCTCCCAACCGAGAGCGTCGGCTGTGGGGAGGAGCAATGAGGAGTTGTTGGATAGAGTGAACCAGTTGATCGCAGCAAATATTAAGGGTTGGGTTGCGTCCGTGCCTTGCCTCACCGCTTCACCCTCTACACATAGCACTGCGAACACAAAGGAGAAGGGTGGAGAGGACGAGGAGAAAAGCAGAGGTGAAGCGCTGGATGAAGTATTGCTGGAACTACAGAGGAGTACGGTGGAGGAGGCGACGCCCTGGTTCACGGCAGTACAACAACTCGTATTCAGCCAGCGCACGATTGCAAAACACGAATCGTTTGGTCATCCAGTAGCCATTCTTCTCGCTGTTTCCTCTGCTTCTCCAGATCCGATGAACGATTTTGCCAAGCTTTACGAGACGTCTTGCCAGCAGAATCCATTTGCAAAACATCCGTATATCAACCCAGATACACTCAAATACTATGTTCTGATTCATGATGTTCGTACCTCAGGAAGCGATCTAGCAGGGAGCAAGGAGCTGCTGGACCAAATTAAAAGGGTTTATGGATTACATTGTTGTTTGCTCACCATCAATAGTGCCTCTGATGATCGAGCAGAGGTACCAGCCAGTCTTGCTGGTTTATGGACACCCTATCTTTCCAATTCGCCCAGCAACCCCACCACCACCACCACCACCACCACCCCCACGCCAGAAGGAATTGGGCTGTATCTAGACGAAGAAGACCTAAAACGAATCAGAAACTTCATTCGCGAGCTGACCGCACAATCCATAGTTCCTTTTATGGAGCGATATGTTCAACATATGGGGGAATATCTAGCCAACTCTCGCAAAGGTTTGACCAACAGACTCTTTGGTGCTTCTCGAAAGCTCTTCAGCTCTTCTTCCAGCACTAATTCCTCCAGCACCAACTCTGGATTGGCTACAGCAGGAGGATACGATGCGCAGTCGGAATTTTATCCATACTCTTCTATCGAAGCACAGACGAGAAGATTAGCAGACTTTGCGTTCACGATTAGAGACTATAAGCTCGCTGCATCAATGTATGATATGGGACGAAAAGATTTCAGTGGGGATAAAGCACATAAACATGCCGCGGGAGCGACCGAGATGTTTGGATTAAGTCATCTGATGCTTATCTTTGCTACTAGGGGCGGGGTGGTTGATGTTGATTCTTACCTATCCCAAGCTTGTACTGAATACTCGTTTCGCTCGGGGCCGGGTATGCGGGTGGAAGAAACCTACGCCCTCCGAGCAACTTTGCTTTATTACGAAGCATATCGACTACTATCCTACCTCCGTCCGGCACCTCCAGCTCTACTGGGAATGGCCCTCAGTTGCGAAGAAGTCCTTTCGCCACTTCTACTCGAACAAGCTGCCCTTTCATGTCTCCAAACCAAACCGAAACCAGCACTTCGCAAATTCGCATTTCATCTAGTATCCGCTGCTCACAAATACCAAGCATGCGGTCAAAAATTGCTCTCACTTCGATGTTACGCTCAGGCAGCACTAGTTTACAAGAATAAAGGGTGGCTAATGGTGGAAACCCATATAGAAAGAGAGTTAGGATTGCAAGCCTATAACGAAGGCGATATGGACGCTGCCGTCGAACATCTGTTGAGGTTGATTAGGGTGAGTGAAGGGAATGAGAGGGATAATGAGCAGCAAAGTTCGTTGAGGGAGGTAGTGGAAGCTTACAGGTTTTCGAGACGCGAGAGGGTGCGGTTGGGGTCGCAGGGGGAGGTTTTTGTTGCCAAGAGTGCCAGGTTGAGGTTTGGTGCCGGGGAGTTGGTGGGGGATGCGGGGGGTGAGGAGGTGTGGGAGGAACTGGAGGAGAGGCTGGTGGATGTAGGGTTGGGGGAGCGGACGATGGGAAACGGACGGAAGAAGAGACGCAAGAGGCCTGCATCAAAGAGCTCTGGTCAGGGAGGGGAGGTGGCTGTAGGGCAGAGCTTCGCGTTGGAGGTGGTTGTGCGCAACCCTCTTGGCGTCGAGCTTAGCATCGATGAGATCAAACCGGTGCTCCAGCGCGATGATTCACCTCTCTCCGCAGAAGAGTACGAAAGCGAGACTCTCCCACCACTCACATTGGGCCCACACGAACACCGACCGATGCGCATCGCACTCCGCGTCAACACAGAAGCCAAACACCTCCGCATCACCAAGCTCGACTTCCGTCTCGCCGAAACCATCCACCTTACTCAAAAGCTCGAGAAAAAGGGTCGACGACTTAACGGCAACAAAGACGAGCGAACTAGCATCTCCTACGCCCCTGATACAAGCTTGGTTGTGTCAGTGCACGCTACTCGACCGACTCTAAGAGCCAAGTTTGTAGATGCGCCGAAGGAGATGTACTTGGGAGAAGAAAGGAGATGTAAGGTGGTGATTAAGAATCAAGGTAATGTGACGGTGGATGATGTTAGGAGTCTTTGTAGTCATCCTTCTATTGCGACCTTCTCTGCTGCAAGTGACCAAGGGAGGGAGTTGGAGGTGAGGAACGACCTTGAGACTGCACCGCCGGAATTCGTACTCGACTCTGAGGGAACAATAGAGCTACAACCGGGGGAGGAAAGAGAAGTGGAGCTGCTAGTGAGGCCTACAGTGCTGGGAGACCTTAGTCTAGCCTGGTTGCTAGCCTTTTCTCCAGCGGACGGGGAAGAAACATATACTTGCCGCCTAGCGGTCAGTTTGCGGGTGGAGCAAGCAGTGGAGGTAAGCGTGGAAACTAAGACGAAACGGGGGAGGGAGTTGCAACATGAAGTGATGGTTGAGATTACGAATTGCCTCGCTACAAAAGAGGTGCGGTTGGATGGTTTCTCTGTCTTGAGTCCGCGGTGGTGCATAAGACCGACAAAGGAAGAAGGCAAGAGAGAAGAGGTGGTGATAGGGCCTAAGCAAACGTGGCGCGGAGGACTAACCATCTCCACCAACGCCACCGCTGGTGGTGCAGAGGAAGGAGAAAAATACACAGAAACAAAACTACAAGATCTTCTGCTAAGTCGGGATAGGAAACGACGGCCACCTCCTCCCGTATCTCTTCACCAATCCAGCACTACGTTGGGACCAAATCGCCTCCCTGCACCTCTTCCTACATCGGTGTACGTGGAGAGTAGAAAGGAATGGAAAAAAGCAACTCTCTCAACCCTATTGTCCACAATGCCAGCTCGGGAAAGGGAGAATATCTTGACCCTCTTGAATACGGGGGAATTTGATCTTTCTGCTCACTTCTCCCTCTCCGCCTCGCAAACTCGAGAAAGTAGGAGTGGGAGCGTTTGCCTATTCGCCCTCAGCCCAGGCCCGAGTCGAAGCACTATCCGAGCAATCACCCACCCGAAACTAGAGGATGCAGCAGGAGACAAAAGCAAGATCAGAAGTCTCTATGCTCAAACGGTACGAGAAAAAGCGACTCTGCTACAGAACATTCTCACCTCTCCACTCAACACCGAGACGAACCCTGTGGTCGTCCATACTGAAGTCAAGGAAGGGGAAAAGATTGAGTTCATTGTTAGGAATTTTTCGGATCTGTTGGAGGCCCGGGTGGAGGTTCAACTTGAAGATGGCCAAGAGGAAGGGGAAGAGGGGCAGTGGGTCGGGAGAAAGACTCTTAGATGTAATACGGTGCTAGCTGGAGAGGTGAGGGTGTTGGAAGCCCTAAGAAGAGGAGAGGGGGGAAGGGTGAGATATGGTGTTGTTGTTGAGACTTTCCTCGGTTCTGCTGAAGATGATGGTGAGCGGGTGCTTGTTGCGAGGTATGCTGAGCAGCACTAGGATTAGCTCGATTAATTAGACATCGCAAGTAATGCAGCCTTGTCGCAGGACCATGTTTCAGGAGTGTAGAGAGCGATAGAGATGCCGAGTTGTCAGGATCTGTGTCTGATGCTGCCAGCCTCGTCTTGCGAAGGGAGCTCGATATATATACAGGGACAGTATGCCTCTCAAAGATGAAGTATGGCCTTGAGCGGGAGCAAGGAGTGCCCGATCTCTTTCCGTATCGGCTCATATTTCTATCGACATCTTGATCGATCGTATCCTTTTTTTCCCCCCTTTTTTTTTTTTTTTTTTTTTTCCCTTTTTTGGCCTTTTTTTTCCCGCCTGTCTGGACTGGACTCAGCCATCGCATTGCTCTCTCTCCGCTCCGCTCTTCACAACAGCAGTGGGCTCTTTGCTCCTCTCTTCACTACCATCACCTTCTCCAAAGCCAGGTACACGATAACCTGGTTAGTCGATTCTTTGCCCTCCCTGTGGGAGCCTGCTTGTCGAGCTTCGAGGACCTCACGGCTCTTTGCCTACAATCGACCCAGTTTATCTGGACATTTTTTATAGTCGTTTTTTAGTCTCTCGTGCGAATGAGTTCAGACGGGAAAGCGGAAAATGAAAGACTTCAAGTTCAAGTTCAGTTCTCTCTCTTCTCTTGGGCCTCGTCGATGCTGGATCCGTCTGCTCATCATCAATCATCACCACTGCTGACACCACCATCCGTCGCCCTCCTACTCGAATCATCAGCCTCTCCTTCTAGGTCGCAGTAACGAGAATCGCTGTCCCATTCGCTTCTCCTCTTGCATTTCGTCCAGCTACCGAAGCTTAACTTTGACTCGGCGCGCGGCTCCTCTGACAACACACAAGGATTCAGAAGGATTGCATCAACGAGAGACGAGTCCTTGCACAGCCTTGGATTCTTCAGACAATCAGTGCAGCTACCTCCCACCATTACTGTGACGACCATTGCAGTGACGTGACGGCCAGCTGGAAACTTGTCAGCAAACGGCACAGCGCACGACGCGATCCCTCTAAACTGCTCTGCCCTGGTCACGACACCGACCTTCGTTTCCAACTCGGCATTCAGCCCTAGCTCTGACGTCTCGACCAACGAGCGTCGAGAGGTTGAAGGCAGCCATAACCTTCTCGCAAACATGGCTCCACTCCTTCTCAAGGTCAAAGGCAACAAGTCCTTCTCCCCCTTCTCCAACCTTCACGACCAAGATTCGTTGCTACGAACATGGCGTGTCTGCACAAAGGTAGCCGCTCATCTCGAGCAGGGTCAACGTCTCGAAAACCTCAGTTGGCGACTATGGTACCTTCATGATCTCATCGTCGAGGACAACGATCTCAAAAGTCGACGAGACTTCAAGAAGCTCTCCAAGAGCACCGGTGAGAAGCTCGATCGCGACAAGGGTCGTGCTATTGGCGAGCTCACAGCTCCACCTTTCCGCAAGACCGACTCTGGAGAAGCACTCCGCAAGAAGGCCGTCGAGCGACAAAAGCTCCGTGCTCTTGCCGTGGCCAAGTTGCAGGGCAAGTTCAGGAACAATGCCAGCAAGCAGAGCATCAAAGACATGCAATACACTTTTCCTCTCGATCCTACCCTCAACTTCAGGCGCACCACCGTAGCCAACAAGGATACTTCCAAAGAATATTCCCACACACAGCGTCAGAATGCGCCTCTAGGCACCACCAACAAGTTCCCAGTCAGCCTTTCCCCACAACCTTCTTCCTCCAGTAGCAGCCGCAGCAACAATGACGCACAAGCTGATGCTATGCAACTCAGTACCCATCCTCAACAGTATCAACAACAACAACAACAACAACAACAGCAGCAGCAGCAGCAGCAGCAGCAACAACAACAACAACAACAACAACAACAACAACAACAACAACAACAACAACAACAACAACAACAACAACAACAACAACAACAACAACAACAACAACAACAACAACAACAACAACAACAACAACAACAACAACAACAACAACAACAACAACAACAACAACAACAACAACAACAACAACAACAACAACAACAACAACAACAACAACAACAACAACAACAACAACAAGACCAACACCACTTGTTCGACAACAGCGCATTCGATCAAAACGCCACTTTCGACCAGATCATGACTAGTGCTGGCTTGGGCGGTATGGGCAGTGCCACAGATGGATACAGGCTGGAGGACATTGAAGCCGCTGAACGTGATCTCTTGCTCAACCACCACATCGACCTGAATGCTCCTCTCGACAGCTTGCTCGCAGGTCTCGGCAACATGGAAGATGTGCACATGGATTTCTCTGATCTTGGACTTCCCTCGGGCGACCTGCCCAACTTCAACGCTCCCTTCAGTCAGACGCTGACCGACCTTTCGGCACCAAAGTCAAGCACCACAGCCCGCCAGAACGGCCCACCAAAGCTAAAGCAGATCAAGAGAAAGAAGACCGACCCTCAGCCTGCAAAGGTCGCTTCCGAGCTTGCCCGTAAGAAAGCGGAAGAGCTTCGTAACATCCGCAAGATCACCGAGCAGACTCAGCGAACCCACATCCAGAACAGCTCGCGCCCTGAAAGCAAAGAGCTGTCTCCAGACGCGAGTGTCGGAAGCAGCAGTACTTGGCCTGCAGCACAGAGTGCAGATGCCGTTCGGTCTGATTGGCTCAGCTCTGCTACTACGATGTTCAACATCAATCAATCCACCGGCGCAGATGCCATGCACGGTCTTTCACAAAGCCTGCCTGAAGGAGCACATCTTCCCCTCTCCGGTTACGGTAGCATCGCCAATACTCAGAATTCGATGCATAACCTGCAGATCGACACTTCGCTTTCCACAATCCAAGGCAACAGCACTGGTGCAATGCAGCCTCCTCCCTTCGGCGCACGAGGCACTTCGGTCTCTGTTCCCACAACACCATTGCTTGCACCTGAAGCTGGTCCCTTCCAAGGGGCTGACCGTCCTGTCGACTCGTTGTCTGCTCCCTCTTCTCCTACTCTGCGGCCCCAGCTTAGCAACATCGGTCGCTCAGGATCTAGTCCAGGACCATCGACAAGTGCCAGTGCCTCAAAAGCTGCCGCTAAGCGACACTCGACCGATGCAACGCTCACGGCCGCAGATGGCGTACCCAAACCCAAGGGTCGCGGTCGTCGAAGCATTGCTGGATCCATCGCATTCACCGCCATCAACCCAGATCTCAACAACAAGAGACCAGACAGCTTGCCTGCAGGAAGCTCTACACCCAACACTTCGTTTGCATCAGGCAGCGCTCATCCTACACAAGCTCAGTGCACCAACTGCGGTGCTACATCCACCCCGCTCTGGCGACGAGACCCCAACGATCTCCTCCTTTGCAATGCTTGCGGTCTCTATCTCAAGCTACACAAGACACCTCGTCCCAAGAGTCTGAAGAACCACCATAGCCATTCGCACTCGGGTCACGTCACTCCATCGGCAACACCTGGCGGAGCTTCAGCACCTGGCTCACGAGCTGGCTCACCTTCAAGGGACGGCGAACCAGGAGCAGAGGATATGATGTCATGCTTCAACTGTGGCACCTACACCACCCCACTGTGGAGGAAAGATGATGCAGGGCACACGGTGTGCAATGCTTGTGGCTTGTATCTCAAGCTACATAACGAGCATAGGCCAGTGACAATGCGTGCCGATGTGATCAAGAAGAGGTCGAGGTATGACGAGAAGAGAGGAAGAGCATCGGCAGCTAACTCAAGGAGGACTTCACCTCAGCCTCAGAGCGGGTCTTCTTGGGCAGGTGCGCAAGGCGCTACCGCCGCCAGTACTCAGCAGATCAGTGAAGAACCGATGGCGATCGACAAGCCAACTCAAAACAGAGCCAAGAGCAACTCCGTCACCTTCCACTTACAGCCAACCATCGCAGGTGACACGAGCGAGACCCAACCGAATTCGACATCAGCTCCCGGATCGGCTTCATTCCCGAGCCGATCATGGCCGTGTATCGGCGGCGGCGGAGGAGGAGGAGGGGGAGGAGGTGAGGCCAACATTGCCAACCAGATCAATGACGCATTTGCAACAGCTGTCAATCGCTTCTCAACCGGTGTATCTGTACAGCAACAAACGACAAGCACGTCGCCATCATCGGCAGTCGGCTCTGGTTCTGGCCCGAGTGCTGATCAAACGGGGTCTTTGACTCAAGCAAGCCAGCAGCAGTATGGGTGGAATGTTTGGTCTCAGCAGCAACAGCAATCAGGCGCTCCGTCCATGTCTGGATCCAAGGGCACTGGCACATGTTCGTCGAACAACTCGGCTACTTCGCCTCCGATTGCTATCCCAGCATCTGTGCCTGGTCAGACAGACATTCAGACACTCTCAGCAGCTTTCTCTGCTCACCCAGCACTAGCTTATGCTGTCCATCAGGCAGCCGAGAAGTTCCCAGCTTTCTTTGCGCAGAATCCATTGGGTGCGACAGCCAGTGTAGCAGCAGCTGCGGGGATTCACAATCCTTTTGCCAATGCCAATTTGAATGCTTCCGTCACTTTCCCACCTACTTCTCTTACCAGCAACATCGCCAACAGCAGTGGTAACGACCAAGAACAACACCCTCCCATCGACATAGCTCGTAATGTAGGCACTCGAAGTAATCTTGATACAGGTCACGATAGTATCATGATCCATCTTGCCTCTGCAAGTTCACCTGACAGATCAAGTACCACTACAAGCGTAGGTGCGCCTAATCGTGGCAGTGGGGCAAGAAAAGATGCTGATTTCAGTAGAATCTTACCTGCTACTGCTGTTGTTGCTAAAAGTCAAGTTGCTATTCAACTCACTCAAGGTGCAACGCCTAAAGCTTCAAGTTGGTCCTAGCTCTTCCTACCTACACATAGTTGGATTGTAAGACATAATGCATTGTGCAATGATGCGGTTGAAATTTTTCTACTTATATTCACATCCAAAGCTTTTTTTTTTTTTTTTTTTTTTTTTTTATACATATAAAAGATAAATACCCCACACCACACATATACGTCACTACTGTCGACAGAATCTATTCGTTCAATGTTGCATATCGCGCCTTCAATAGGATTTTTGATTGGAAGAGTTCCATAAGTTACTCAACTCCAATATCCTGCGACTTTTGAAATCGAATTGTGCAATATGGGGATGAAAATTCCATCTACCATCCCTCGCCTTGTCCTGTACATCGCTACGGTAGCAAAGGTCGATTCGGCTTGAGTTGGCATTTGAAGCTTGAGCTGTCAATACCGAGGTTTCGTGTTGCTGTGGTTGGTATGCGTCACGTGGAGGAAAGCCTGTTCCGAGTCGAGAACGTTTGTGTGTGGTTAGAGAATCGGTGTTGTTGGAAGGGGTGGTGCGAGTGAGGTTTAGGTTTTCCAGGTGGATTACGTCTCCTGGTCTAAGTGCTGTTGTGTTGCTAGTTTCTGATGGGGTGGTGCGAGAGAGATGATGGGTGAGGAGGAGAGATGATTCGTTACCTTCCCGTACCCCTGCCTCTTCTGGTCGTGCTGGCGGAGAAGGAGGGTCTGTAGTCCATTCCCTAGCCAATTTTCCCCAAAGCACGACTTTGAAGTAGCACTTCTCAGCAGCCTCTTCAACAACGCTCACCCTCCCCCCCTCCCCACCTCCCTCTCCCTCTTGGGAATCAGAGGGCAAAAGACGCCTAATAGAAGACATTCTACCATCCATGACAATCAATTCAACCCTCTCGGTCTTGCCATCCGCAATCGAACCCGCTTGTGCCATGTTCTCATTCCTTATGGCTTCAGTAAAAGCGCTGCTCGATCGACCTCTTGTCTCTGCTCTACCGATTCCAATCTTGGCCAGGAGGTTATCTTTCGGTTTATCCACGGGGTATTTGTTCCGCACCCTTGTCACTTGGCCCACTTGTTTGACCACAACGAGTAGATTGACTTTGTGGCTTATTGCACCGGGTATCGCACTAGCAACCATCCCCGGTCGGGAGTGGGAGGAAGGGAGAAAGTGTGACGGGTGGGAAAGGATGCGCGAGACGGGGGTGATGGATGACAGGGTGAAATGGAGGGTGGGTGGGGGGAGGATTGATTGGCCGGCTAACATCGAGTCTAGATGGGAAGGGTGGGAGGGGGTGGAGGAGGAAGGGAGGGAAAAAGCTAGGGTTGCGTTATGGTCATTCATTTCTGGCAATTCAATCCTCGCTTCTGCTGAGGCTATGGCCGAAGGGATCTGTGCAGCCTTCGATCCATCCTGCTTTGGGGCGGCGATTGGTGGTGGTCGCTCTGCAGCCGAAGCTAGGACGAAAGAAGTGGTTGAGCGGGAGGAAGGTTTAGAAAAGAAGCTAAACTTGCAAGTCTGCCCTGCTCGTCCAACTCGTCCTCTTCCTGTTGCTGTCGCTGCTGGGCGAAATGCAGCAACAGGCACTCTGATCTGAAGCGAGGACTCGGATGCATTGTTTGAACTCTCTGCCTCCACCATCCTCTCTACATGGTCCCTTGCTGCATCTGGGACTGCACTTGCGGCAATTCCAGCAAAACCGAGCCGAAGCGATCGATGCAATAACCTCGTACCATCTTCACTTGAACTTAACTCCGCACTATCATCTCCAACATTCACTCTACTTTTATCCACACCACCATCCTCCTCCTCCTCCTCCTCCTCCCCGTGGATTGACTCGGCCGCATCTACATGGACGCGACTTGGATCAACTTGACCTTGCACCTCTCCAAAAGTTTGGCTGGCCCTTATAGAAACAGAGGCAGGATTGCGTTCCGGTGTTTCAATCACGAGTACGGGAGACTCGATCCTAACCTTCTTCCTCCCGCTTCCCCTCCCTTCTTCCTTTTCCGCACGAGGGTCGACTGGATGGGTCTCATCTGCGATCGTAGGTACGAGTACTGGTGGAGATGGTTGTGGGTGAAAGACTTCCCACGGAACGCCGGGTGGTGCATCTCGGACGATTGATTTTGCTATCGACTCTTCCCACTCCCCTTCCGCATCGATTTCGAGAGTTGGGAAGACAGGGTCTACGGAATCCGGCACCACCTGCACAGCCTCCACCCAGCCGTCCTCCTTTGCTGTTTCTGCTGCAGTCTGTTTATCATTCCCACCAGGTCGATGATAAACTTGTGTAGATGGCATGTGGTTGCGAACAGTACCCAAATCGAATTGGAAAGTAACAGGGCAAGGATTTAGGTCGAACTTTGCAAGCGTTGGCGGTGGAAGAAAGACCACTGTACGCATCGCAAGAGTGGCAACTGCTACATCGCCGTAGCACAGCAGCACGTGGAAGAGATGATGATGTTGCGGGTTGTAGGGTTGTGTGTTGGTGTTCGAAAGGGTCCAACAACAACTTTACGCCACCAACATTTCGGATCTCGGGACCCACCCTGGCTTGTCGTCTTTTTATCGCCCTTGACAACGCGTGAAAATTGTTGGAAAAGGAGGCTGAGAAATTGAGGGAAAAAAGGGAAAAAAAAACAAAAACAAAAAAAGGGAAAAAAGCGAGAAAAGAAATGTTAAATTACCTAACTCGAGTGAGTCGCTTACAAGCTCCCACGGATCCTTTTTTACAACACATCTCATCCTCCTCTTCTACGTCGCAGGCTCAAGGCAACAAGTAAGCTCAACACATCAGACCGAAATCTGTCCAAGTAACATACCCACACGCACAGTCCCATCATACGCACGTCGTTTGTAACGATTATCAAATCTATAATTCCATCCATGAAAACGTTTCCATTCATGTCCAAGGGTAGTTAGTTAGCTTTTGAACAACTCATACCTTTTCTTTCCATCCCCTTCATCCACCAATTTGAGATACAAATACAGCTTCTCCCTCTCGAACTTCACCTCTACTGGGTGCAAACTCAACCATTGCAAAGCCCTCACTCTAAACCTATGCCAGCTAGTATCCGTGCGGTATCCATCCATCCTCTGTTCCCACCGATAGGCGGTACGAACGATAACAGAGTCGTTCGAATAGGCCGTTCCTCCACCAGTGTATTGCGAGGGCGTGAGCGACGGGTTTGTTGTCATACCCCACCACCTCTCTTCTCTGTTTCCGCGCTTAGTGCCAGATTCAAGATGAGAAGAGGAGCGCAAGGTACCAGGGAAAAGGTGCGGGGAGCAAGGTTGGTCATCGACAGTGGAAAAATCCCTCCTTGTTGCTTGGGTGGCATCGTGTCCCAACCCGACTTTGATCGTTGCTGCGCGACGCAAGCTTGAATCCACGGGATCTAAGAACGGATTGTCCGGATTCTGAGCATCAGAAATCTCTCCCTGCCAACGTCCGGGTTGATGTTGAGGATCCGACCAAACTCTACCTCGGTTTAGTAGCCTTCCATCGTGGTGTCGCGCAAAAACGATTTCGTTGAGGTAAAAGTAGATCCTATTCAACAGACCTCTGTTGAACGGTCCGCCCGTCGAACCGTTTTTCTTCCACAATCCTCTCTCGGCCAAAAACTTTTCCAACTCTGCTCTCGTCATGGGTCTGTAGGCGATACAAGTTGGGTATTGCGGGGAGAACGATCGACGGTATTTGCGGAGAAGGGAGTAGTCTTTGCAATTGAGTCGCCAGAGTTCGTCGAATAGAAGCCACCAGAATCGATGAACGGGAGTGCGGTTGATGGCTGCGAGGCGTTCGTACATTAACGTCACGCACCCTTCGTACAGTATGGGTAGATTGCGCATCGATCGAGCGCATCCAGTTTCTACCAAAGCCATGCCGAGTCCCAGGGGTGAAAGTCCATCATTGTCAAATACATCAGTTAGGAACGAGTAGGGTAGAATCCTATGCTTCCATCGTGCCTCACGCTCGAAATTACGACGATACTTGCGAAGAAGCTTCTCGACCATCGGTGCGCGTTCCACCAGCAATCGTTCGTTGTCTTGTAAGAAACGAGAAAGGGCAGGGTTCATTTCGAAGTCTTCAGTAAGACCGAATGCGCGTGATGCACTGACAATGACCTGCTGCCGGATCGAGGTGAGCGCTCCGGTAGATTCCTTCATCTTCCCCTCCTCGTAAACGATCGAGACTTGGAATCCCCTGTCAAAGTTGTAGCCTGCCCAATCAAATTCGTTGCTCCTCTCGATTTTGAGGGTACCTTCGACGAAAGATACTGGCGTTGCAAGAATGTATTCCGACTGCTCCTTTGCTGCTTGAAGAATTCCAAACCGGGGTAGTGAGCGAGGTCGACGGGAAATTCGACCCAACATCTTGTCTAGGAAAGCCATCCCACTCGAAGCGTCTCCGACCTGAACATTCTCGACGTAGGGACAGAAGATTTTCTGGCCTTCAAGAGCGCGTAAAGCTTGACGGACCATCTTTTTGTTCCTCACCTGCGGATCAGAGTTCTGTTCGATGTATGCTTCCAACTCTTTGACGCAGGTCAGAGACACGCTTTGGATGTTGCCCTCATCGTACCGCAGCACCAGTGTCGGTGGGAAGGGCACGAGAAAAGCCTTTCCAAAGAAAGACATGACTCCCGACGGAAAAGGCGGTTCCTGTGGTCGCCAGTAGGCATCCGGACCGGTAAAATCTCGTTGAATCGTCCTGATCAACTTCTCGCGATACATCCCCTCCTGAGTCCGACAGAAGTGCACCTCTCGACGATACGCTTCGATGCCAATCTGTTTGACGATCTTCAGGTTTTCTATGTGACGTTCAGCGACAGAGCCTTGGAAATCGATCAGGTACGACGGCCAACTGTTTTGGTCTGATACGGAAAAGGCAATGACCTGTTCGAGAGGCATGTGATACTGCGGGCCGCAAAGGATGAGGATTGACAGGGTTTCTTGCCATACCCGACGCTTGATGTGTTTGGTGATATCGAGGAGGGGAGAGAAAAGGTCAATGGTGTAGTCAACGCGATTCTGCCACCGCTTGACTTGATGGGCGACAAAAGACATGCCGATGAGTGAAAAGTAGATGTTGCCTCCATAGGTGAAGGCTTGGACAATGTACAGAATCGTAGTGTTGTATACGGTGGAACCTTGCACGTTGAGCGCGACAAGCAGACCGATGGTGGCGGTTAGCACGTATCCGATACGAGAGACCATTTCTGATCGATTGCCAATCTTGTCTACAAAGGGCTTGATGAACAGATGGACACCCAGTAAGGAAGCCATGACGAGAATCAACGTGCTTTGCTGAACGACGAGCATAGTTCGTGTGGGAAAGGAGCGGAAAAGGCAATTATCTTTGGCAAGAACACCAATGATGATCAAGTTGGTAAACTTGAACAGCAAAATGTAGAGCGGTTTGTAGTAGCCCCATTTGCGATGGTAGGAGTTGTAGAGAAAGTTGAAGGGAGATTTGTCGCGGTTGAGTAGACGATGGTAGTAGATGTGCATTTCTTCTTGACTACGTTTGCGACCGAGCTCGTTGAAGGGGCTAACGTGGGGGAGCATCTCTTTGATCGTCATCATCAGTTTGAATGGATACCAGAGGGTGTAAAAGATGATGGTCAGGAGAGCTAGTGGGATGATGACGTATGCGTAGTTGAAGGCATCTTTGCGCATCGTCGTAGTATAGCAAAAGTCGAGTGGGGCTCGCCAGATGTCGGGATCGCCAAGCAGTGAGCCGGGGACCGGATCATCGATTCCACGCTTGTAGGGATTTGCAACGGGCCAAAAGTCGCTTGACCAGACCAAAGCATCAATTGCAAGCTTGCTGAGCGGCAAATACAGCAAACCCAAGAGGAACACTAAGCATGTGTTGGCGAAGCGCGTTCCTCGAGAAGAGCTCTTGTAGATCCAGCCTTGCGAGTCGAATGCCTCTACAGTCTTGTTGGGGTTGTGAGCTTTGGTCGTGCGCCAGAATGTCCACAAGGCTAGGGCGGTGATGAGGATCCAGATAAGGAAGAAGATCACCGCATAACCAAAGACTGAGACGAGATCGAAAGCAAGGATTGCCGGAAGCGTCTGCAGAAGGAACTTGAAGAATTTGCTGGCGGTAGTTGTGGGATGACTGCTGTCAAAGTATCGCTGAAAATTGAGTTGGATCGTCATGATCTGGAATAGATCTCGCAGTGTCTCCAAACGAAGAATGCCGGCTGCAAAGGTGCTGCCTTCAACTCCGATAACCATGTCAAAAATGATGCCGAGCCAGCCAACAGCCGAGATGCCTCCTGGTGGCTTGCGTGGGCCGATAGCGTTAGATTTGAGCTCGTCAAGGTTGTTCTCTTTGAGAAGCATGAGTGGTGGGAACATCTCTTTGCGCGTAATTGGCTTGGCTCGAGTGGATAGCTTGCTAGAGACACGACTGCCATTGTGACTTTCGGTGAGACGGGCAGAGATGCGACTTGCTACCTTTTCGGCTTGGACTGCGTCGTCAGTTTGCATTGCGAGCTGTTGTTTTGCGTCGACTGCAGTAGCATCATCGTCGTCGTCTTGGTCTTGCTCGTCCATACGACCTGGCTTGCGGTTCGAGACTACTTTTCCAGCGAGCAGTGGATCAATGTCGGAGGATTGAGCTTTCTTGCTTTTCTTTGATGGGCTCGACTGGGCAGCTGCTGGATCTTTGGGCTGACCATCGCCACGAGGGCGGCGTCGAATCGGGCTCTCTTTCCTGGACGGGAGCTTGGACTGGATGCTGGAAGTGTAGAGCAAAGCAGGACAGTTGATCTGACCACCAGCCACTTCAAGCTGAGCAAGTGTGGATGTGTGCTTAGGTTTGCTCATCTGATACCTGCTCGAACTGGGACTGGGCACTTGTGGTTTTGCCGACGGCTCCGTTGGCCGGAATTGCTCGTCAAAACCATCTTGCAAGCCGAAGAGCTGCTTCTCCTGTTGCGTACAAACGAGCAGAGAGTCGGTAAAGATCGGTTCGCCAAAAATGATAGGATCGTTGAGATACTCTTCGAGAGCAGGAAGATGGATGGGAGCTGCATCGCGCTTAAACACCTCGTCAGCCGAAACTGGGAGCGTACCAGGGTCAAGATTGGAAGAGACGGCATTCTGGGCAATCTCATCGGTCACCATGCCGCTCGACACTGGCGATGCTGGAAGGAGGGGTATACTACTTGGATCTTCGGCAGACCAGGTTTGCTTTGATGGTTGAGGGGATGCAGAGAGGTGTGAGCTGGAAGGCTCGGGTATAGATGCTGGCTGATCAGGTATGTGAGGGCGGAAGGAGGAGGGAAGGTAGTTGCCTGTACCGAGGGAGACTTTGGCATCAAGATCAAAGATGTGGGCACTGCTTGATGTCTTGCCGAGAGGGGCTTTGGGTGGTGGTGGTGGTTCGAGGTGCTGTCGTAGTGGATGGGCGGCCTCGATGCTGGGAGCAGAGGGAGCAGAGGGAGCATCGGTAGCAGTCGCTGCAGTGATGGATTGGCCTACGTCCGAGGAGCGAGATGCTGGCCAAGGGATGGTCTGGACAGGCTGGACTTTGCCAAGTGGGATGAGATGGGGTCTTTGATTCGAATCCAGCGAGGGGGCTTGATGCTTGAGTGGTGCTTCGTTGCGGTCTGAGAAGGGGTTTGCAGATTGAGGAGAGCGTGGCGAAGGTGTTGATCGGAGCTGTTTGATGTCCAAGGATAAAGGAGATGGCACACCATACTTGGGCGTCGAGTCGAGTGGGGCAAGCGTACCGTTGGTCTGGTTGGTAGCAGTGGCGAGGTGGGCGTGATGTGGTGGCAGTGGAGATCTCACAACTGGTGGCAGTGAAGATGATGGCCAAGGATCAGGCTGAGTTTGCCACCTTGAGACGAGCTGCCGTACACTGGCAGTACGAGGGACCAGCAGCGATAGGCTTGAGGGCCTTGGCTGAGCACTCTTGTTGCTATCTGCTGAGCTGCTGCTGCATTCTCTCCGAGGCGGCATTGTAAGCAGAGCCGGCTCTTCCGATGCTTTTCACTGATGGCTCGGAAGAGTGAGCGGTGAGCGGTGAGATTCCTACAAGGCCATGGCGAATGGCGCTGTGACTGGTCGAGTGCGATGGTGTGATGGTGTGATAATGTGATGGTGTGATGGTGATAATAGAGAACCAAGGTCGGAGTAGCCGATCAAGGGTGAAGAGTGAAGGGTTTAGAGTGAAGAGTTTAGAGTAAAGGCATGGCGTGACCGAACAGAGAACCAAGTCGGATTCGCCGACGAGCATGAATCACTTGAAAGCGGAGTTGCCGTCACTATGTGTTGCATTTGCACTCTTTTCATCAGCACTTTACCCCTGCCTTTGCCAAGCAAGTGGCGTGAGAAAGGAGAGTCAGCGGCCCGAACACGCACACCCACACGCACACTCACACGCACACTCACACGCACACGCACACTCAAACGCACATACCTTGGAAGACGGCACAGCAAAGGGGCCTCTTTGACGATAGGCGCAAACCCCGCAAAAAGGAACATGGTCGATGGACATGAGCAATGTGGGAGCAGATCGACAGTACACACACACATAAAAAGAGATAAAGAGAGAGAGAGAGAGAGAGAGAGAGAGAGAGACGCGTTTTTCACTTGGCTCTTTTGCTGAAAGTAACGGATGTTAGCACACCGAGCTTAACATCTTTCCCCCCCTCAAAATACCGTGTGCAGCCTTGGAGCGGCAAAAATGACGTCGTAACGCACTACGCTCGCCTACGCACAGGCCAAGTGGACTCTCCCTTTGTGTTCCTTATCGTCGGCCTGGTTGCCAACGACCACCAACGACCACCAACGACCACCACCGTCATCATCCCCTTTTGTCTCTATGTCCAACTCGAAGCAGAACAACAAAGGCGAGGAGCAGTCCTTCACCATCCAGTGAGTTCTTTCCTTACACCGCTGTTGCTCAAATTCGACCTACCACTGACCCTTTGTCTTGACTCGGCCCTTTGTGCAACCCCGCTCAGGCCTCACCCAGCCACTAGTAAGTTTTCTGCATGCTGCATCCTGGATCGGCATTTGAGCAAACTCGTGCTGACGATCCATGCACTTTCTCTCTTGTGCTTGCTTGCTTGCTTGCTTGCTTGCTTGCTTGCTTGCTTGCTTGCTTGCTTGCTTGCTTGCTTTGTCTTGTCTCTGACTGCAGCCAACGACCCTAACACCGACCCTGCTCTCAACTCGGGACTCAACGAAGGCGTCTTCGGAGGAGGAAAGCCCGGCCCTGTTGTCGTCAACACCGAGCAGCTTGGTCAATCTCTCAGTGAGTACATCCCTTCTAGGCATCAACAGCTTCTCAAGCATGGTCCGCTAATCATAAGTCGCTTTGTTTCTCTCTTGTTGCTTTTCTGCTCGCTGTTCAACCCATCAGGCCGCGAAGAGCTTGCCAAGCGCTCTGCTGAGCTCAACAAGTAAAGTCGTTTGCAGCCACTCGATGCTACTTGACCTACTTTGCTCAGACGGAAGGCACTCCAAGCCACTCTAGAGAAGCGTCTCGTTTAGCAAGCCATGTGAGCCTATCCATGCTTTTGTATGCGCAGCAATGCATATCGATTCAGATCTCATGCAGCCGTGCCTTTGTCTGTGTCATGTCCGTCAAGCGTTATTGGCTGATTCTTTGGTCCCACGATCAAGTGAACAAAGGCAAGCCAGGGAAATGAATCAATAGCCTCTATCTCGTCGACCTGCTGCCCCATCTCTCGCGCAAAGAACAAAGGGAACTCGACATTCCCGCTTCTCAGCCCACCCTTTTCTTGTCGTTGTTTGACACCTCCCCTTTGTTCTTACACTTGCTCCTTTGCTTTGTACTTTGCTTTCTACTTTGCTTTGTACTTTGCTTTGTACTTTGCCTTTCTTGCCATACTACCTCTGGGCTTGTGCGAATGCCGATCTTTCTCTTCGTCTTCTCCTCTTCGAATGGCACTTCTGACTGACCTGTGGGAGGAGTTGAACAACATTCATATATCTGACCCTCGAGTCGAGATCCTTCCTCCCCTTCTCCTCCATCAGCCTTCTCTCATTCTTTCCTCTCCCATCAGCGTCCCTCTCGCTGTTTGCGTTCACACCCGTTACAATGCTTCACTCAAACACAGACGCTAGCTCGTTCAAGCTTCAACCAGCTCCCCGACCCAAAAAGCGTCCTCAAAATCCTCCCTCCATCCAACGGCGACCATCAGGCCAACCAAGGCCTCTGGTCGCTACCGACGCCGACTCCCTCCGTTTCGGCTTTGACGATGACCAGGAACTCTGCCTCACTCCAAAAGCTTCCTATTCCAACTTGCCTCTTCTCGCATCACCCAAGGCTGGTGGTAGAGCCAAGCATGACGAAAATCGTGCTCGATCATCCACCATCTCTAATCGCTCGGCTTCTTCGACCAGTTCAGTTTCTCGTTTACTTGCTGCAATCTCGCTTCCTCTCTCACCTCCTCCTTCCACACCGCAATCATCTTCTGTGCGGGAGACGTTGACGGGGATGTTAAGCAACAAGTCCCCCTCGCCCTCGTCGCCGCTGTTTCCGCGTAATACGCTGATGAGCAGTTTATCTTCCACCTGCATCTCTCCTACATCTCCTTCTGGTGGCAGGGCTTTGAGAAAGAGGATGGGTTGGAGAGCAGCCCTTTCTGCTCCAAAACAGCATGAGACAGCGATCCCCATGTCTCCAGAAAGTCCCTTAACTCCTCGTCGAGCAGACACTTTACATACCCCTACCCAAGCAAGTATCTCTTCCATCCTCTACGCAAACCATCTCCAAGTGGACCAAGAAAATCAATCCGAACCTCTCAGCGCGACACTCAAAGCTCTTGGCGCTAAGCGTCAAACGCATCCCTTTCCTCCCAACACCAACGTCCTACCCGTCAACCAAGCAGAGGAAGCAGAGGAAGCAGAGGAAGCAAAGGAAGCGTTCGAATCCCCCCGCACCGTCAAATCACCTCCTTACTTCGAGTCGGATTTGGAAAGTAGTAGGGAAAGCTTTCAACTGCTAACAGCCCAACGCAAGATCTTTCACCTACCAACATGGATCAGGTTCGAAGCGAATCATCATGCTCGTACGCAAATTGTCCAAAACAACCGCACTGCCGCACAAGAGTTTTCCAATCTAATCGAGACTATGCCGAAAACTTCGCATCTCGGCGACGTTGCTCCTGATAGCCCAAATGGAGAGTTGTTTGCTGGATTCGACATCAACCCTGCTCCAGATACAAAGCAAGAGCAACATGTGGTCAAGGTTGTAAAGACACCAACCATGGCCACTTTGCGCAACAGCGCTAATCGTGGTCCCAGTGCGATCAGGCGAGAGGGAAGAGTGATGGGAGCGATTTCTTCTGTTTTACCTCCTTTTTGCGAAAAGTTTCGTATACAAGATTCGCTTCCCAAACAATCGCCAACAACGAGAGCCTCTAATACGATCAGTAGGCAGCAAGCAGTGAAGGAGAGGAGAGATGGTTGGGGAGGAGTGCTGACGAGAACAAGTTGGTTTCCTTCCTATCGCAAAGGTCCCTTAGTCTCACCGCTTTCTTTCGCAAATAAGTCGCGGTTGAAGAGTTTTAGTCTTCAACCTCACCCCTCCGACCTACCGCAAGAAGAGCAAGAGCAAGAGCAAGAGGGAGAATGGCAAGACATTCAACCCAACCCCTCCCATCGGGAGTGCGAGATGGAGAGTTCCTTTCTAGAGCTTAATCATGCACCGAGCTTTCTTAATCCTCCTCCAAGCCAAACCCGAGGTCGAGGTCGAGGTCGAGGTCGAGGTTGGAGTTGCTTTCGTTCCTCCCCGCACCCCTCTCCCTCTCCCTCTCCCTGTTCAAAGAATGGGCTTGCCGGTATGATGGAGTTGAACACATGGCAAATGCGCCGACTCCCCCCCGCACACGAAGAAACAATGGCGAGCAAACTCATTACGAAGGGTACCAAAAGCATCGAGAACCGCCCAATTCGAAAGACAAAAACCATCTCAATGAAAATCAAAATAGCATTATCCACCATCACCGCAACCCTAATCGCAGCCATCATTATCAACGTCATTGTCCTCTCACATTCCACGTCGGCCTCCAAACCCCGAAAAGCAAACGTCGATCCAATGGCAAACACTGGTCTTGCCTACATCCCCACCACCACCACCAACAGATCGATGAGTGCAAGAGAATCAAGTATCACTAAAGCTGCCCAACTATCCAAACCCTAGTTTTCACACTTAAGCCCACACCGTCTTTGCTGGAATTGTACATAGTCTCACACCTATCCCTACATGTCGAAAGTGAACTGCATCCAAAAAAGGATAGAGGCAGGACGACTTAGTGATCGACGAGGATCATACTAACTTTGCCTCTCTTAGTGGCGTGATCCTTAGACAGGCCAATTTGCACTGTACACTGGTCAAAAATGCCTAGTTCAAGATCCTTGCTCAACCCGCTGACCGAAGTGGGGATGTTGATCTGGTGGTTATCCTGATCGAACTCAACCTCTTGGTTGAAAGTGATCAAACCTTCCAGTCCGAATTGGTTAACGAATACAGCGAGACCGTTGCGGAATACGCGGATGACGTAGGCTGAGGCTTGCATTCCACCTTCCCCCTGCACTTTATCCTTTTTGCTCTTCCTGCTGCAATCCTCGGTCGTAGCCAGCATAGCATTACGTTGGGCGATAGAAAGACCGACATAAAACTCAACCGAAGCTCGACCGGCTTGCTGTGCGCTCCTGTGTCTCTTGTTGACAAGCTTGAGCATCTCGTCGACGTAATCTTTGCTGTGAAGCGAGGGATGCAGTGGTTCGTAGTTGATGGCTGCTGCCAGTTGACGGTGCGCCAGCACATCTGCATAACGTCGGATTGGCGAGGTGAAATGCGTATACATCCCAGCTGCCAACCCATAATGTCCAAAAGTATCCCTCGCAACGCTACCCGAACAAAAGTACTCCGCAGCCAACATGCACCTGGTCGCCATGATCCTTACCAACGTGTTGAAAGGAGGGTCTTTCGGGTCGACGCACTTGTCCAACGATGCAGCCAGAGCACCCGAGCTGGAAACGTCGAGCTCCATCCGCCTTCGTTTCTGCAAGATATCCTGCAGGTTTTCAAAGTTGGTGCGTGGCGGAGCCAAGTGACGACGCAAGACAGCGGTCATGGGGAAGACCTCGTAGATCCGTTGAGCGACAGAGACATTGGCGAGAAGCATGAACTCTTCGACCAGTGAATTGGTCTCTCGCATTTCCTTTTGCTCTACCTCAATCGGCCCGGCTTGTTCGGGCGAGTCGAGGTGGATACGCACTTCAGGCGAGGCGAGATTGAGCGCACCTGCGTCCATACGTTTCTGTTTGAGCTTAATAGCGAGCGAATTAAGAAGGCGAATAGATTCGGTGATGGCATCCTTCTTGCTCTTGTCATCCTTTCGAAACTGCGCTTCCTCATAGGTGAAGGCGGCCTTGGAAGCAATGACCGACTTGTGGAACCGCACATTAACAATCTCTGCATCTGGTGTCATCTCCCAAACCGCACTGAACGCTAGTCGTTCCACGTCTGGTCTCAGCGAGCAGAGATTAGTCCCCAGCAGATGAGGAAGCATGTCGATCCTCTTATCCACCAGATAAACCGTCGTACCGCGACTAGCTGCTTCAGCATCCATAGGATTGTCAGGTCTCACAAAGTAAGACACATCGGCGATATGGACGCCCGCTTCGATGTTGCCATTGGGGAGCTGCTTGGCGTGGAGAGCGTCATCAATGTCTTGACAGCCAGGAGGGTCGATGGAGCAAATCATCTCTTCTCGCATATCGATGCGGTCTTTCCATGCTCGATGGGTCATGTCTTTGGGTGGGACGACCCAGCTGTCTCCCTCGGGTGGGAGACAGTCGAGGATGGCTTTGCTGAAGGGTCGGTAGGGTACATCGTGCTCAAGGAGGAGTGATTCTTGTTCGGCTTGTTTGCTTTCGGCTTGGCCAAGTGCGCGAACAAAATGCCCGTCAGGGTAGCGAGATGTGGGACGCCAAGAATCGAGAGCGATGAGGATCTTCTGTCCCATCAAGTCCTTCGCTTGACGGGTGCGGATGCGAATGCGTGGAAGCTTTCGGTCGACAGGTGTAGCGAAAACAGTCTGTGCGCCCAAGCTGGATAGAGCAGAAGAGTTGACCGAGTTGACGTCGACATGGGCGACGTACGAACGCCAATTGCGACGGACAATGCCCACAACCTTTCCTGTCGGCTGGGGCTCACCACGAGAAGAGCGAGCGTTGGCTTCAGCATCTGCTGCCTCTTTTCTTGCCAGCCTTGCTTCGATATCATCGTCAGCAGCACCTTGGCCATCACCGCGTTCAGCATCGTCATCCTTGAGTGCAGCGTCGGCGTCGATGACTTCTTCTGTCGCCGCCTTCCACTGATCCTTAGGCAGCATCTGCACCGCTACGACGTCGCCGTCGACAGCACGGTTCATAGCCTCACGACCGACCAACAAGATGGGTCGAGTTAGCTGACCAGATCGGACAGTAGCCTCGAGGTAGTTGTACGGGTTAGCGTTGAAGAAACCTTGCAAGAGCTGGCCGGACTTGATCCCTGCGGTGACTTGGTTTTGAGCGAAATGCTCGGGGTAGAGGACGGCTCGCTTCTCGCTGCCTCCGGAAGCCGAGGGGATGGAGCGGGAGGAGAGGAGGTCGAGAAGCTGGTCAGCATTGTCGAGACCTTGGATGTAATCGCGAAGGGACATGGCTCGAATGTCGTCCTTGAGCGCACGTTGGACGTTGTCTTGGTCGTCACTAATGAGCAGAACGTCGAGATTGGCCTTGGACGATGAGGCGGGACCAGTAGAAGCCATGAGGTGGGTTCGATACCACTTTGCAGCTGTACGAATGGCTCTGTCATTTGTGTCGTTGGGCGACTCGTCTTGGTTGTGCAAGACAGCTGTCTGGCGGCCAAAATCGTTGTAGAAGACGCAGAACCTACGGTCAGGATCTGCGATGAGGTTCTTGAGGCGGTTGAAGAGAGGCAAGCTCCTGTGTCGCACCTCATCCATGACAGTCTGCAATACTATGACATCGGTGAAGCTTGGGTTTTCGATGAGATCCATTTGGTGGAGAAAGGCGTTGGTGTCGAGGACAAGGTAGTGGTTCCTATCCACGTTTTTGTTCTTGAGGCCAGAAGGATCGAGGAAGATCTTGTTCTGAGGACCACCTTCCTGGGCCTGCCTTTGGAGGCGGGAGTGAATATGATGGCATTGCTCGCAAGCACGACTACCACAGGCGATATCGTCACGGAGATAGCGCTCGCGAACAACTTTGAGGACTTTACCACGAGCGGTTTTGCGAAAGTACTTGCGTTGGGCCGACTCGAGCTCGACGCCGGAAAGCGGTCGTTTTTGGATGCTGATCTCGACCATGACGACTGTTCTCCAGAATCGATAGCGGCAAAAGTGTGTCAATGTTGATGTCGAGATTGTCGTGGTGGAAGCAAAGACGATGAGGACAATGATCGCTGGCTGAGCAGAAAAGTGTCCTTTGGCGCAATCTTGTTGGATGTGGAGATTTCGAAAAGATCAAAAAGATCGGGAGTCTAAAGAGGAACCCGATCAGATCCGTCGGCTAGTTGGCGGTCTAACAAACCTTTCCCAGTAGACAGGAATCCAGCTTTGCAAACGAGTTTCGATTTTCCGAAAAGAGAAGAAAAAGCATGTCCAGCCAAGGTAAGGTTGGTACACAGTAATACAGCACATAGCACACAGCACACAGTTGAAGTTCTGCTCTTAACGGAGACCATCTACTATATATTTTATTACGTAACCATTACAACATACGCGTTTGTAATGACCTGTCAGTTTGTAGCAAGCAAGTTAAAGATTGTTAGAGTAAAAGACAACATGTCAGAGCTGTCTCTGGGTCCAAACCTGATTTGCTTCCTAATCTTTTAATGATTGATTTGGTCTTATCCCAACCTGGGTGTCTGAATCGTTTGTGCCAAAGCTGCTGCATAGAAACCTTGAGCTTCCTATCTGTTGACTCAAACTCTTCATCAACATCTTCCAGTAGCTGTGTTGGCACTATCATTGCACTTTCACTCCATGTATCGCCTCAGAATTCTAGTAATCCTTGCTCACAATTCTTTGATACCTTAAGTAGGGTACTGTTAACATACAAAACATTTTGGAGAGTTACATCTCTGTATTCTGTTGATATGCTAGTGTCCCCTATAGCTACTGCTTCCAAGATTTCCCTACCAGTGGTGAAACACACCTTTGGCAGATCTTTGGACAAATGAGCATTCTATAATTGTTGACCATGTGATAGCTTGCTCCTGAGTCTAGGATCCAGTGATTTGTTTCCTTTGCTTTTGGCCATTTGTACCATCTTGGGATGAGGGAGCACCAAACTTCCTAGTGTCACCGGAATGGAATTCTGTTCTCCGAGTCCAGAGCATTGTCTAAGCGGTCGTGCGCCAGAGACTTAGTTTTGGGTGTTATATTGGGTTTGATTGAGTAAGGTCTACTTGGTATGTTTTGCCTCAACATAACCAAGCATTACTGCCTGGTAAGTCTCAACTGACCACCTTGAACACTCTGTTCAGAGGTTGCACAGCACAAATGCTGTTTGTTGGTGAGTGAGTGATACACCTTCTCCTACAGTATGAGTGTTTGTAGTACTGTTGATAATGCTCTTGGACATTGTCTGGACCGCAATATGCTAATCGCCTACAGAGGACAGGAGTTACTGGACCACAGGTGTGAGTCACTGCCTACAATAACTGACTGGACTGCAGGTGTTGAGCAACACCACCTACAGCAAGGGACTGGACTGCAAGTGTTGAAGAACACTGCCTACAGCAAGGGACTGGACCGCAAGTGTTGAAGAACACTGCCTACAGCAAGGGACTGGACTGCAAGTGTTGAAGAACACCACCTACAGTAAGGGCACTGGACTGCAAGTGTTGAAGAACACCACCTACAGTAAGGGACTGGACTGCAAGTGTTGAAGAACACTGCCTACAGTTGTCAACTAACAGTGATACAACACACATGTTGAGAGTCGTTGCAAGAGCACTGCTATTGCAATGGTACATAACTGAGTAAGTAAGTAAAGTAGATAGAGTAAAGAGTGGATGGGGATCCACTCATAGGCTATGGTGAGAACAGGAGTATTTATGTGTTCGATCAGTGTTGCCTGTGACACCTATCTCATTCCCCCTGCTAGCATCAATCCCATGGGTGCTGCGCCCCTACCATCTGCACAGCATACTGGTTTTGCAACACTGCTCCTTTCACCTTCCTGCTCCTTTTCCACCTGATGATGTGTGTCAACCCCTTCAACACAACTCCTCCTCATTGCTTTAGCCAATCCATTCACTGCTTCCTTCTTGGTGACCACCTCCCCATCCTTATCTCATGAATCCCCTTAGCCACCCATTGGTCCTCATGACCAACTGCTTGGTCATGCGGTCACCTCCTGTGCTTGGGCCTGTGTGGCTATATGCACACACCCCTTGAGCAGTAACTGTCTGCATGATGCTGAGCTCAGTTCCCCACCACCTCCTATGGTTATCTCCAAGTGCCTCTCCTTCTGATGCCAGTACCTTCCTTCCTGAGTCTACTAGTACTTGCTCATATTGGCCAACTTGTTGAGGCATGTTGATCTGACTGATTCCAACCAATCCCCATGAGATTAATCTGGAACCCCAGGGTTTGATCAATCTCATAATTCATATGCACTGCCAGCCTGATTAATCTTGTTGATCCCCAATGGTTCAGCACCGATCAATCTGGCACACCCTTCATATATTGATCCATTGCACACCCTTCATATACTGCTCTGTTGCACAACATTCCCATGACTGCCGTTGATCAATTTGGCGCACTCTCTTGCGCTATCCTTCTGACCCTGTGACACATTGCTTAGCACCATGTCCAGTTTGCTTGCATATCCAACAACAGATCCTTTGAACCTTGTTTGCGACTTTAGTGTTTGCACTGTTATTGTCAGTGTTGGCTTCCTTGGCTGATTTGTTCTGATACTTACTGCTGGTGATTCTAGCATTGGCTTGGCAAGGATCAATCTTCTGAGCAGGAATGTTCTTGAGTGCCAACTGGCAGGTGCTTAGCATGGTCACAAGTGTGTCAAAATTAAGTTGATGAACTGTTGCAACTGTTTCCTTGTATACTGGGTGATGAATCATACATTTTTGGAGAGCCAAGAACAGAGTGTTGTCAGTGACTGGTTTACCCAGGAGACTGCTCTCAGTCTGGATACTTTTGATCTCCTGGATTAGCTTTTGCACATCAGAGTTGAACATCTTGATGTTGCCAAGCTGGGCAATGAGTGTGAGTCATCAGGAAGTCCTGATGGCTTTATTGCTTAAACCACTCTTGATTTTCTTCCAGATTTGATTGAAGGTAAGGTACTCCCTAACAATGTTGAGGAGGAGGTAATCAACATTATGTTTCCCCACTGTATCAATGGTGCTGCACAAGGTGTTGGACAAAGCATCATCAAAGGTATGGCTCCACTTGGGGTGTTTCCTATTGTACACTCCTTCAAGATGCTTCATAGCATAAGGTACAGATTGGAGGAAAGACTTGACATGTGTGCTCCAGCTGTAGTAGTTTCATGATGTTAGCTTGGGTACTGGTTTAAGGAGTTTTGACAAGGTGCAGAAGTTATATTGCTTGCTACCATCATTGACATCAGAGTTGGAATTGGGTTTCTCATCGACTTCATTGTCGATGACTTCCATCTCGTTTTCGTCAATAGCTTGTGTCATAGGGTCTGCGCAGAAGACCCAAAATGAGGTATGGAGAGCCTTGTGCACACAAAATGTGAAATCTACTGGATCACAGGTTTCCAGTTGATTTCACCGACAACAACCACATTGTGTGTTTCTGATTGGTTTTGCTGAAATCAATCAAAATACATCCATCTGGTTGATTTCGCCAAACACACCACAAGAAGCTCCCATCGGTATGGAATGGGCCAATTGGCTATGAGGAAGCAACAGGAGGCTTGGAAGAGAAGATCACCAACATTAAGGATAAGGATAGGATAGCAGGAAAGGTTTCACATGCAAGGAGCAGGCCCAAGTTCAGCCAAGAAGAGGACCAAGCTCATGAGCATGTGGTAGGTTACCATACAAGGGGAACATGCTCATGGTCACATGGGAACAGTCACTAGGGAGGCCACATGGATGGAAGCAGGACAATAAAGGTGGTCACATGGTCAGGGGCCACCAAATAGGGGCCAGGAGAATGGTCACTAATGGAGAGGAGAGGGAGCCAGACCAAGGGGACCCACACAGGAACTATGAGAAGGAAGGGTAGTGTTGAGGACACATAGCTCAAGGAGAGGAGGAAGCAAGAGGACGAGGAAGGCAGAAACACTCTGTCAGAGGTCACGCGCCCAAAACCTGATATCTGTAATAGAAATGCATCTATTACGAATCCTGTCGAGATATGTGACAATGCTTGTGGTATTATGATTCTCATCAAGATATGTAGTAGAGATGTCTCTATTACTTTTCTCACCCAAAGATGCAGTAATGGTTTTGCTATTGCAGGTTTTGACTAACTGCTATGGACACTCCATCCAGAGGTAGCTTGGCACAATCAATAACTTGAATGTATTGCAAGACACCAAGGTCTGGTGTGATTGAGATAGTTGATGTCATCGACATGAGTGTCCAGTGTGTCAACTGAATGCTTGAGGTGATCCCCAGACTGCAGTGGATGACTGCCTTCAGTTCTATCTTTATCCAGACCACTGGTTTGCTATGAACTGCCTTTGGACATCAGGGAGCAGTGATACAACACACATGCTATGATGGAAGCAATCTACTTGATTGTGACTTTGCTGACTGTAACTAATGTATACTTAAGTGAAGTGATAACTAGTTGTGTATGGTGTAGAGTGGATGGAGATCCACTCGACTGCTATGACAGAGAGCATGGCTATATAACCATTTGCCAAGTGTCACCAGTGACACTTGCCCCTGCTCTGAAAGACCTCCTCCAACACTGCTCCTCCTCCCTTGTCCTGCCTACCTTACAATACTGCTTCTTAGCACTGCTTCTCTTGCCTCTTGCAGATGGAGAGTCTTTGTGCTGCTTCACTACCGGATAGGGGCCTTTCCCACCTCATCTGAGTGGCAACCTGCCCCACCTTTCATCTCACCCATCCTCCTGCTCTGAGTTCATCATGGAGTCAGTCCCCTGTTTCATCAGGGTGGTGTCAGGGGGTCCTTGCCACTCATCTCCAATGGATCTGTCATACAATCCTCCTTGTCCCTAATCTCTGTGGAATATGTAATACTACCTTGTTTACTGCAGATCCTAGTAAGGCCCATGGTACCATTATTGCTCATGCTGATCTAGGTCAGAAATGTCATAGAGCCTTCTCTTTTACAGATCTTGGTGACCTCTACTGCAGCTCCCATGATTGGCCTGATCCCTCAATTCCTGCACTCCCTTCATATGACTTGATGGGTCTTCCTGCTTCCTGCGCATCCAGGCCCATGACACACTCCTCAGGAGGAGCAGGAGCGGTGTTGCAGGCAACACCCTACAAACACATAAATACTCTCACTTCACCATAGTATATGAGTGGATCCTCAACCACTCTACTTTACACTTACTTACTCTCTTAGTTACAATAGTTTCATTGCAATAGCAGGACTTTGCAACAGCCTCTCGATTGTGTGTGTTGTATTGCCATTGGAAGCCCACTGCAGGCAGTGTTATCCAACACTTGCAGTCCAGTCAATCACTGTAGGTGGTGTCCAACACCTGCAGTCCCATATCTCCTGTCATCTATAGGCAATAACCTTATTGTGATCCAGGTGATGACAAGAGCATCAAGCAGCAGCACTACAAACACTTGTGCTGTATTGGGAGTTGTATCTTATACCATTCCCAACCCAATGTGTTACAGACATGCTGCATAGCCTCTGAACAGAGTGTTCAAGGCAGTCAGCCAAAACCTACCAGAACTCAGCCGTTTTATTACTGTCATGGGACAGGAGGGCTGCGCAGGAAGTAAGAAGACCCGAAGTCATATGAAGAGGAGTGCAGAAATTGCGGGATCGGGCTAAGCGAGAGCTTAAGGCAGAGTTCACTGAGATTGGTAGTAGAAATGGCTCTATGGCAGAACTCATCAGGATCAGTAGGAATGAGGTCATTACTACAGAGCTCAGTGGGAATGGTAATACCATGCTTGTACAACAGACCTCACAAGAATCAGTTTGAGAGGCACCCCCATCACTGATATGGCAAGAGGAGGATACCAAACAAGGGAGAGGGCACCACTGAATGAAGAAGGGCCTTGCACAACAATGAAGTCAGTGCCAGCAGGTGGGCACCAATGACAGGAGGGTGATGAAAGGGTGCAAGTTGCCACTCAGATGAAGTGGGACTGGCCCCTGATGGAGATGAGGCAGCAAGAGGCCCATCCATCCACAGGAGACAAGGGAAGTGGTGTCAATGAGTAGCATCACAAGGTGGATGGGGAGTTTAGGAGGAATGAGGAGGGGGAGCAGTGTCACAGGCAACACTTCAAGAAAGGTATATAACCATGTTCCCTGTCATAGCAAGTGAGTGGATTGCCATCCACTCTACACCATATATTACTAGCTATAACTTCACATAGGTATACTTAGTATTCTGTGAGCAAGTTGCAATCACTATAGATTGCTTCCCTTGTAGCACATGTGTTGTATCACCACTCACTGACATCTGAAGGCAGTTCATAGTAACCAGCAGTCTGGATAACAATTAGAACTGAAGGCAGTTGTCATGGGGCTGGATGCGCAAGAAGCAGGAAGATCCATCAACTCATATGAAGGGAGCACAGGAATCAAGGAATCGGGAAGATCATAGGATTTGCAGCAGAGTTCACTGAGATCTGTAGTAGAGACAGCTCTATTACAGATCTCACCTAGATCAGTGCAAGTGAAGTTGATATCATGAATCCTGCCAGAATCTGCAGTAAGCATGATTGTATGGCAGATTCTGCAGAGATCAGTGGCAAAGACAGTTGTATGGCAAACTTCACATGTGAAGGAGGACCAAGCATTGCCAAGAAGGGGACCAAGCTCAGAAGCATGCAGCTGGTTACCACTCAGGGGGTCACAAGATGAAGACCAGGAGAACCATCACTGGTGGGAGGAAGAAGAGCTGTGACAAGGACACTGGCAAACAGGTTATGAGGAGGAAGAGCAGTGTTGAGGGAATCAACACCTAGTTCAAAGAAGGACAGATAGGAGGGACAAGGAGGAGGGGCAGTGTTGTGGGTGATGCTGCAGGCATGGTATATAACCATGCTCCTTGTCACAACAAGTGAGTGGATCACCATCCACTCTACACCATATCAACTAGTTATTACTTCAAGCATAAGTACATATTAGTTTCAGTCAGCATAGTTGCAATCAAGTAGATTGCCTCTCATTGTAGCATGTGTGTTGTATCACTGCTCACTGACATCTGAAGGTGGTTCATAGCAAACCAGCAGTCCAGATTCAAGATAGAACTGAAGGCAGTAGTCCACTGCAGTCCAGGGATCACCTCAAGCAATAGTTGACACACTGGACACTTGTGTCAACACCACCAAGCATTCATACTCACACCAGACCTTGGTGTCAGTACAGTTCATATCATTATTGATCATGCCAAGCTACCTCTGGATGGAGTGTCCACAGTGGTCAGTCGAAATCTGCAATAGCACAACCCCAATCACAGATTCAAGTGAGTAAAGTCATAAGGACATTACTATGGCATAACTTGACAAGAATCATAATACTACATATACAATCACATATCTCGACAGGATCTGTAATAGAAGCGGTCCTACTACAGATCTCAGGTTTCAGGTGTGCGACCTCTGACAGCAGTCATCCACTGCAGTCTGGGGATCACTGTCAGCAGCCGTGCACCTGAAACCTGAGATCGGTAGTAGTATCGATACTATTACTGATTCTGTCGAATTATGTGACAATGCTAGTGGTATTTCGATTCTTAGTGAAATATGCAATAGAGCCATCTCTATCACTTTTCTCATTTGAATCTGTAGTTGCAGTAATGCTATTGCAGATTTTGACTAACTGCTGTGGACACTCCGTCCAGAGGTAGCCCAGCATGATCAATAACAATGTGAACTTATGATGACACCAAGGTCTGGTGTGAGTATATTGTTGATGATGAGGTTGGTGGCATTGACATGAGTGTCCAGTGTGTCAACTATCGCTTGAGGTGATCCCCAGACTGCAGTGGACTACTGCCTTTGGTTCTATCTTAATCCAGACCACTGGTTTGCTATGAACTGCCTTCAGATGTCAGTGAGCAGTGATACAACACATGAGCTACAATGAGGAGCAATCTATCAATTACTACTATGCTGACTGAACTAATGAGTACTTATGCTTCTGAAGTTATACTAGTTATGGTGTGTAGAGTGGATGGGGATCCACTCGACCATTTGTGATGAGAAGGTATGATTATATATCTCTTTGCAGTGTCGCCAGCGACACTGCTCCTGCTCTCTCTCTCCAGAGAGTACCCTCTTCATCGAGTACTGTACAGGGATCTCCAAGGAGACTCCTCCTCCTCATTGAGCCTTGTCACTCCTGTCCTTCCTGAGCTGTGTCAACTCCATCAACACTGCTCCTCCTCCTCATGTCCTTCTCACCAGTGTCCTTTACACAGCTCTCCTTCCTTTGACTGGCAACAATTCTCCTTTACTCCTGTCCTGTGTGCCCCTGAGTGGTAACCAACCATGTGTTGCTGAGCTCGGTCCCCATCTTGGCAAGGCTTGGTCCTCGGCCTGGCAGAGCTTGGTCCTCCTCACATGTGAATTGTCATATGGACATCCTTACTACTGATCTCCACAGAATCTGCCACACAATCTTGCTTGCTGCAGATTCTGGCAGGATTCATGATATTGATGATGCTCATGCTGATTTCGCTGAGATCTGTCATAGAGCTGATTCTACTGCCAATCTTGGTGAGCTCTGCTGCAAATCCTACATTCTGCCCGATCCCTCGATTCCTGTGCTGCCTTCATATGAACTTCGGTTCTTCCTTCTTCTCTGCGCATCCAGGCCCATGACAATCACCTCAAGCACTCAGTTGACACACTGGACACTCAAGTCGGCACCACCAGTAATCACACTCATGCGAGACCTTGGTGCCAGTACAAAAAACATATAGTTATTGATTGTGCCAAGCTACCTCTGGACAGAGTGTCCACAGTGGTCAGTCAAAACCTGCAATAGCAAACACACTACTACATCTTTGGGCAAGAAAAGTCATAGAGGCTTCTCTATGACATACCTTGACAAGAACAGTAATAGAGAGCACTCTACCACATATCTTGACAGGATCTGTAATAGATGCATTTCTATTACAGGTATCAGGTTTCAGGTGTGAGACCTCTGACAGTTACTTTCAATTGAAACATACCAAATAGGGCTTACTCAGTTGACCTCACCAAAATCAACTGGAAGCACCCAACCTGGTTTCAGGCATGTGACTGCTTACAGCTTGCACCTGTTGGACTGCCTTGCCTTTTCTAACCCCCCTGGACTTCTTGGCGGTTTTGCTGGCACCAGCTTGAGGGTTGGTATCTTCTACCATGGTTGTTTGTGGTTGAGGATAAGATAAGGTAAAGAGGGGGCCAGCTTGGTTGATGAAGCTTCAGACTTTTAATCAGTTAAAGATTGTTAGAGTAAAAGACACCTCTACATTGGGGCTATGATCAAGCTCCTTTTGAACAGGTGTATACTAACTGCAATGCTTAGGTTCATCAAATGGACTAGGACTACAAACATGTGTGTATATAGCTTCACATCATCCATGAGAATGTCGAGTATCCTTAGGCAAACTGAGTGTCTGCCCTGCTGTGCTCTTCAACTGTTTCTCCTGCAGATTCCCTGAGCTGTTTCTTCTACTATGTCATGCTCCCTGTGTGCCTGAGTCAGCTTGTGAGTGAGCAGCTTGTCCTTTCACATGGTCTGGTGCTTGCTAGCCTTGGCAATCACTAGCTTCAGCTATTGTGAGTTCCAGGAATTGTGAGCTTTGGCAATTGGATAAGCTCTAGAGTTTTTCCCACATATCTTCAACTAGCAACAACGGCCAGCAAAAGAGGGGTCCAATGCCGCAAATCTCGTTAACACGCTCCCGCTTCTCTTAGGCTTAGTCAGCTTTTCGTTGCCGTGGCTTATCATCAGTCTCGTCGTCAAGCCATCACCACCATCACCACCATCATCACCATCATCACCATCATCACCATTACCACCATTACCACCACCTTGTTCCTCACCCGCCACCCCATCATCTCCACCTGCATCGTGCCACGCTGGTGTTTCAACCCTCGACTTCCGGATCTTGATCTTTGCACCCGCACGTATCTCGCACCGCATCGGCCATCTTCAAATCCAAGCTGGACCTCTTTGTCCCTAGCTTTTCCGACATCCGTCCCTTCGACAAGATCGAGCTGACGCCCACTACATTTGCCGGTCAACTTTAGGCGTACGATCTGCATGTGCCGAATTCATCTCGCATTTATCCTCTTTGTCACATGCTGGTAAGATGCTTTAGACGGCTTGATTGTCATCCCCGCCAACTGTCTCGACTCATTTGCATCAACCTCCGACTTGTGCAGAACAGTGAGTTACGCTCTGAGCACGCTACTGCTGTCACTCCTCGGTCCGAATCAAACCCTTGTTGCCGGCGGTCTGCAAGCAAACCTCGTCCCTGACATCTCGTCCCTGACACCTCGCCCCTGTCGCGGTCCGCATTGCTTTTTGCTCGACATCTCTTCTTCATCAACCTTGGCTTCTCTCTACCATTGATCGCATCAGCTTTTCATCTTGGCTCCATTGTCGTCGTGACCAGCTCATCTGCAGACCTACGTCGGTCTGCAGGGTCCTTCCAAAACTCCGCCCACTGCTTCAACGCCTACGCTCGGCCCGCTTCATCTCGCCTCTCCTACGCCTGTTGCGGCTCTTCGCTTCTCGTCTCCCACCCAATCTCGCTGCGAGCAGACGCTTACATTCATCAATCAACCCAGCGTTTCGTGGAAGATTGCTTTCATGTCATTTCCAGCCCTTCAAACATCCCAGCCCGCACTCAAAGACGACGCTGCCTCCTAGCTATATCAGGTAGCTCTACAGTCCAGTCGCCTTTCTTCGCCTGCCTTACCGCTGCCATCGACACAAGAGCTCCGCGCACTCGCGCATTTCTTACAATGAGCTCCCTCCAAGCTGATCTTAGCCCGCCGCCAACGCCAGGGCCGAGTTCGTTCGCTCCACGAGCTCTTCACGCCTCCAAGCCACCAAGCCAGCCTGCCAGCTCGCTCTCGCTCCATATTCCCGAGGATGGCCAAGTTTTTGCCGCTCTCACTCAGCCATCGCTCCCATCAGCACTTACCTCGACGCCCTTGGCATATGCGCCAGCTGCTCCTCCCATCGCCTTGAATCTCTCTTCTCCGCATCAACCAGGACCAAGCACACTGGCACTGCCACCGCAGTCCAGGCTGACACGCAAGCGACCGTCTAGGCTGAATTTGGCGCCACCTTCATTAAGCGACGAACCAGGTCTCTCATCACGTTCCATGCCAAACTCGCCCGCCGCGCTCTCCAGGTCCAGCTCCAAAGCAGAGCAGTTGGATGACTCCGCTCCGCCTCCTTCAGCGATATCAGAAGCCGTCAAGAATCTCTCGAGCACGCTCAGAGGCACACCACGAAGACGTCCAAGCATGCCTTTCAAGAACACGGCAGTACCGGAAACATCGTATCCAGAGCCTCCTAGCGCTGCCAGCTCCCATACGCGACCACCAGAAGCTTTCCGCGATCCTTCCGAGCACATTTTGAGCGGCAAAGGAAGCACACTTCAGCATGCTCGCAGTGTCTACTCCCAAGGTCCTGTAGAAATACTTCCAGGCCTCTTCCTCGGTGACGAGCACAACGCTCGCGACCAAGATATGCTCTCCGCCCTTGGCATCACCACCATCCTTAACGTCGCAAAGGAGACCATCCTCGACTTCCAGTCTCCAGGCTCGGCACAGCCAAACCAATCGCACTCAGCGTGGACCAGCGCGTCAAATCGCAACCGCAAATCCGACACAAGCATCATCGGTCGCTCTCGACCTCAGCACAATGCTGTCTATGGGTCGCGCATGATATCAGATGTCCCACCAACACCAAACACCTACTTCACTCCACCGACCACTGCTTCGCTTCCTACCGGTACAGCGCATGGCGATGCATCTTCACTTCGCGACGCAATCAGCACTTCAGTACTGCGCAACACCTCTTCAACGCCAAACCTTCTCACTCACTTTCTCAATGACGCAACGGCAGCAGCCCACAACTCACACCACGCCGCTACTGAGTCCGACCTGCGCACACTTACTGCGCAAGACGTCTTGCGCTACCGATCGCTCCGACGCAGCAGCAACTCGTCTTCCGACGATGCTTTCGATACTGCTTCCTCACCAACTTCGTCACGAGCGGCAAGCACGTGCACTTCGGCTGCCACCGAGCTTACCCCACCAGCCCTCGTGAGTCTCAAGCCGAGCGGAGACGCTGCACCCGAGACTCAAGGCCACTCGACATCCAGCGAGTACGCCAATCAGCAGCATTCTCCCAGCTATGCCTTTGACAACGACTCGCAGCGCTCGCCTCCCACTTGGGTCACACAGGTCGAGTTGCCATCCAACGCAACCGTCATCAAGGTTACTAGCAACAATGAACAGCGACTCTCTCGCGAGTTGCGCTACATCAAGCTTCCTTGGACGCACGATGAGACGGAACTTGCTACAGCTCACGGCGGTTTCGCGCAAGGATGTGCGCTGATCGCCGAGGCGCTCGGCATTGATCCTCGCTACTGGTATGCAGCCAAGATTACAGAAGATCGGGATGCCTGTATAGCACTAGAGGATGACGCCAGCTTGGACAACGTACAGACGAGCCCTTCTCCAGGCAAGATTCTCGTGCATTGCCAGTGCGGTGTCAGTCGCAGTGCTACATTGGTCATTGCCTTTGTCATGCAGGCTGCAGCCATGCGATACGGCTTTGAAACCGCACGCACCCTACTCGGCATGCACGACTGTTACAACATGGTCAAGGACAAGAGTGCAAGCATTTCGCCCAACATCTCGCTCATCTACCAGCTCGTCGAGTGGGAGCGTCATCTCTCCAGCGCTGCCGGTCGCCTCCGCGACGTGCTCGGTATGGGTTGTGGTGGGAGCCAAGGGGAACCAGGCAGTCACTCTGACACGAGTGGTAGCCAGAATGGTGTACCTGGAGCAGGTTGGTCTACCGAATCCATGGACGAGGCTATGTGGAGCAAGATGCGTCTTGAAGAGGAGGAAAAGGAAGCAGCAGAGGAAGCAAGACGGCGCGAGGAGCGTCTCAATGAAGCTATTCGGCTAGCAGCGGAAAGGAAGGCAGCACAGGACCGTCTTGAAGGACGCACGCCAGATGCCGCCGCTGGCAGCGACGTTGGTGGTGGATCGCTTATGCAGCGAAGGCGCAAGAAAGCGGCACCGGCCTTGCAGCTACAGACTGCCGGTTCTTCTGCGGCGACGAACAGCGCTCCTGCAGCAGCACCAATGCCGAGCCCCGGTCTCAACAAACGTCGTCCTCCAGCATTGCAGCTCAACTCTGCCCTTGGTGGCAAGAGTCATTTGGAAGTGGAAACACCATTCCGAACGGCAAGGATGGAAGCCTGGTCAGAACAAGAGCATGACGGTGACGGCGATGTGATGATGTCGGAGCTGGAACCGCCTCAGACACGGTTGCGATCCTCGGCAGCCGACTGGGACATTGTCAGTACACCTACTGCACGAACAACGATGGGAGCATACGGATCTGACCCGGCCAGCTCGACGCTGCAAACGCCTAGTGCTTCTACTACTTGGCATGATCGTGCACGCCCGTCATCCGTGTCGTCGCATCTGCCAGCTTCGCTTGACACTTCAGCAACGCATCGATCAAGCACAGACGGAGTCATGGCCACGAGCTGGCTTTCGCCTTGTTCACCTGCCATGTCAACTTCACTCTCGCTTGGTTCGCGACCGAGTCGATTCAGCTTGGGCGGCGCTGCACCTCTCAGCGGAAGCCTCACAGCACGGTTGGAAGACGAGCTGGAGCCAGGCTCGCGATCGAAAGCAAGACCCGATTCGATGCAAAGCACCATGTCTTCTTCCTCTTCTACCGCACTGTTCGGCGTTACAGCTCTGTCGCGAGAAGAAAGGAAGAAGCAGCATCGAAGGACGTTCTCGTCGGATTGGCCTACGCTTCAGGCTAACTTGTCACAGAGGAGCAAGAGCAAGGTTGAGGCCATGCTACCGCCGAATCCGCATACAGAAGGTGCTGCGCCAAGCAGTGGATATGCAAATGATGCGATGGACGTGTAAGATGAGCAGCATTCGACATTCGACATTCGACATTCGACATTCGACATTTGACATTTGACATTTGACATTCGACGTTCTGTTGTTACAGTGTTTACAGATTTGAAAACTTGATTGCCGACGTTTGATCCTGCGTGATGGGATTGTGAGGCGGTCCCTTGTGAAGCCGAGTCGACACAGCCAAAGGTTCGAGGTGGTGCATATCCGAGTGAGCCAAGGTGGCGGCAATGTGAGATCGAACTAGAGCTTACATAGTTTTACTGCAACGCGCTGACCTTGCTTTCCGCCAGTTTCTATACGACGGCCGTTCACTTGATCGCTTCAACCTCGGTCTCTTATCAGGGGGTGAGGGGGGCGACGAATGGTAGCTACCCAGGGCCAACTAGGCGCACAAGAACACACACAGCGAGATCGAGCAAAACTGATGGGAGCTTGGACGGTCGCATGACCCTGCGCTTCGTTCTCAAGCCCATCCTCCTCCTAGTGGCCCCACCAGCATAACCCCCACTCGGTCTATTGAGCGCCACACTTGTTTCACCTGCACGACTGCAGCAGAAGAAGAAAAAACAAAGAGGACACTACACGTATCAACTGGCGTCACCAATCCGGATCGTGTTGCCACCCTCTTTGGTCTTTGTTTTGCTATTGTTGCTCCTGTTTCAGTCAGGCAAGCAGTCCAAGACTGCTCAGGTGCCTCGTAACGTCACTTGCAACTCAGTCATCAGCACGCCACCCTGCGCAATCTTTCTCTTTTATTCCAGTTTGGTTTTACTCTGATATCGCCATATCAGTCGCTGTCCCCTCGTCCCCGCACCTGTCCACCTGCACATCCAGCTCCTCTCTCGACCACATCCATTGCCTTTGCTCGAGCAACGTCCACAACAGCCCACAACAGCAAGACCTCGTTCCTCCATTCTTCTCGACCATGGCGCCAGCCGACCAGATGATCACCTCCGACTCTGGACCCTACGTTCAGGAGAAGGCTCCTTCCTCCGACGACCAAGTCAAAGGCTACGACAATCCCGCTCACAATTCTTCCCTCAAGGATGCTAACCAAGATGCTCGACCTGAAGAGCGTCAGCTCCACCGTGCTCTCAAAGGTCGTCAAATTTCCATGATTGCCATTGGTGGTGCTCTTGGTACTGGTCTCATTATTGGAACTGGTTCTGGTCTCGCCAATGGCGGTCCGGCTTCCATCCTCATCTCTTACACCGTCGTTGGTTTTTGCTGTGCAGCTGTCATGTCTGCTCTTGGTGAAATGTCTACTTACATGCCTCATCCACGGGGTTTCGCAGGCCACGCTTCTCGATTCGTCTCTCCCGAATTCGGTGTGGCTACCGGATACAACTATCTTTTCAAGTACCTCGTCGTTACTGCAAACAACGTCAACGCATGTGCCTTGGTGATTTCCTACTGGATCAGCAGCAGCCAAGCTTCAGGAGGTATTTGGATCGCCATCGTCACCGTTCTGATCATTGCACTCAACTTTGGTGGACCTAAATGGTTCGGTGAGGTGGAATTCTGGCTTTCATTGGTCAAAATCGTCACAATGACCGGTTTGATTATTCTACTTCTCGTCATTGATCTTGGTGGATCGCCTACTGCAGACAGAATCGGTTTCAGATACTTTCAAGATGGTCTTGCTTTTCGATCTTACCCTCGAACCTCGGGATCCAAAGGAATGTTCCTTGGATTCTGGTCCACCATGGTGACTGCATTGTTCGCTTACACGGGAACTGAACTTGTCGGTGTTACGGTTGGTGAAGCTGCCAATCCTCGCAAATCAGTCCCTTCTGCTATCAAAAAGACCTTTTTCCGTATCGTCTTTTTCTACGTCCTTGGGGCCCTCTTAGTTGGAATGGTCGTCCCCTCCAATGCACCCGAACTGCTCGCCGCTAACCGAAGAGGAACCTCAGCCGCCGCTTCCCCCTTTGTCGTCGCTATTGTCCGTGCCCGCATCCGCATTTTACCCGATATCATCAACGCTGCAATCCTAATCTTTTGCATCTCGGCGGCAAACTCGGATCAATACATCGCAGCGCGTACCCTCTACGGTTTAGCTATCGACGGTAAAGCTCCTCGAATCTTCCGCCGCGTAGATAGACGTGGTGTTCCTTACGTCGCACTTTGCGTCACCGCGCTATTCTGCGCGCTAGCCTTTATCAATCTCGCCTCTGGTGGTGCCCAGACATTCTCCTACCTCGTTGCATCCGTTACAATGTTCGGTGGTCTTACATGGATCTGCATCTTGATCTCGCATATTCGATTTATGAAAGCTATGAAAGCTCAGGGAATCTCGCGTTCCACTCTACCCTGGCAAGCTCCATTGCAACCTTACTCCTCCTACATGGCTGTTGTCTTTACCTCGATCGTCGTTTTCTTTAAAGGTTGGAACTCGTTCTTGTTCGCTTTTAACTGGAGGACCTTTGTGACCAACTATATTGGACTACCGATCTTCTTCTTGATCCTGATCGGATGGAAGTTGTGGCACAGGACAAAGATCTACAAGCCGGATGAGGTTGATCTCTTGACAGATGTCAGAGAGTTTGATCAACAGGATGAATTCATCTGGAAAATGGATGAAGAAAGGGTAAAGTCCGAGGTGGCAAATGCACCAGTCTATAAGAAGGCTTGGGTTTGGGTTAAGAATTGGTAAAAGTCACTTGATCTTGCTAGATCTCTGTTCATCCTTATGTATTGGACATGCAATCATTGGATAGATGTGGTATGAAGGTCTCTTGTGCCATTTGCTCTAGTTATCTCCTTGCCGAGTGGTGTGCGGACGAGTGTGTGACGGTGGGTGCTTTGATTGACGACGGTTGCCTTCATTGCATGGTGTGGTGGATGTTGATGCGTTTTTGTCGTTCAGTGTCTTTGTTGTCAGTCGCAAAAAGAAAAGCGAGAGGACGACAGTGGTCATCATTGAATGTTGCATCACTGAGTTGCATGGATCTGCCATGCAAATGCCTTCTGCGGCACGCTCAGACAGGTCTCACAGATTGCCAACCAGTCAAATGGACGCCAATCAGGCCGCCACAGTCGCCGTCATGTCAGTGAGGGATGCTAAGTAAGAACGAAGAAGCCGTTGATCCAGGAAGCTGATCGACATATGTTCTTCTCGACTGGAAGGCCTGCAGCTGATCAGGTCCCGAAAGGAACAGCTCAGCTTCTCAACACTCGACCTTCTTACTCGGTTCCGTGAGGGAGCAGGGTAATGGTATTGTGTTGATACAAGCGATTAATTGCAATACCAAGAGACGAGAGCAAACTTAAAATCTAGATGCCGTCGGAGTAGCTTTGGCAATCCATTGTTGGTGACGTGTACACAGCTCGCGAATGATGTCCTCCTCGAGTTCCTTTTCGCCGCCCTTTCCGCCTCCTTCTGTGAGGCTGTCAGAAAGACGCATCCATGTAGCAGTAAAGTGCTGACCGTCGACGTTGACTCGATCTATTGGCCGTTGTGGTTGTGGTTGTGTTTGCGAGGTTGAGGGTGAGCCTGTGTTGTTGCTATCACGCTCTACAAAGACAACCTCGAACTTTCTTCTGTTTAGGTCGTTACCGATGACAAGTTGATGACCGTACCTTTGCAATGCTGCGACAGCTTTTGGAATGAGCAGCTTCGGGTCGGTTTCCAGCTTGAAGCTGACCAGATACCCCTCTGGTACCCACTGTTCGACCATGGGCTTGAGCACTTTTGGAACCTGATCCATTTGGATCACAAGAGAGCCCTTTCCAGACTGGATTTTATGTTCGGGAACGTTTGTCGAGGGGATGAAGAAATCACTGACTGCAGCAGCGAGATAGTACATCCCGTTGCGACCTAGCGGTTGCATAACACGAGACATCTCTCGTAGCAGCCAGAGGTAGTCATTGACAGTCACAAAGGGAACGGTATGTAGCAGGCCAGATGTACGCGCATGATGGTAGGCCGAGAGGATGGGTCGAAGATGGGCGACGTGTTGCTTGAGAACGGTAATGTCATCCTCTCCTGTACCGGAAGCAGGCGAGTCGGTGTGAACGTGGGTAGCTGGATCCGCGAGCAGGTCTAAGAAAGGGTTTGTCGTATGACTGTAGTGTCGAGTATACGGAGCGAGAGAATGTTGTCGACTCATAAAGATGACAGCGTAGCCGGCCGAGAGGAAGTATTCGGCGGACGTAGCTCCTCGAGTTCCTGCGGAGAAGTTGTCGAGGAATCGGACGACGTTCTTTTCCAGAGGCACTGTTGTTCCGCCTGAAGTGACGAGAACGACGGGTCGAGCTTGGTTGATGTGACGTTGGACGAAGTCCGAAGCAGAGGCCGAGACCTCGGCGAGATTCGGCGGCGCCGATTGTGTCTGGAAGAAGCGGTCACTTGACCAGTTCGGAGAGGCCGAAGACGAAGCGGATGGGTCCGACATTGGTGCGAAGCGTTGGTGCAAAGTGTTGGTGCAAAGTGTTGGTGTACTTGATATGTCTAGTGGCGGCTTGACAGAGTCCGCTGCGGTGTGTTTCTTGGTTCAAGTTGTGAGCGGCGGGCACCAAGTTGATCGGAGTTGCCGATGCGTGAGTAATCAAGCGGATGAAGCGAAAGGTCGGTCAGAAAGTCAAGGGTCGCCTTTGCGGAAGCAAAAAGCGGTAGGGTTTGGTGGTTGTCGTTTGGTGTCGAGTTGGTATATCAAGTAACCCAACGCTGGCTCAAGCCGCGTCTCAAAATCTCGGATCTCGAATATCAAAGCCTCTCTCGCAGCTCCGTCCATCTCTCGGAAGCTTTTGTTTTTGATATTATTTATTCACAAAGTGAGCTTGTCTCTCCACTGTCACTGCTCAGCCACAGTTCGGCTCCCACGCTCCCACGCTCCTACGCTCCCACGCTCGCAACATCACATCAGCCAATTCCTCGTCCCCAGTCGGATCACCCGCAGAGCGTGACTCAGCGGCAAGCTTGCAAAGATGCCTCGCAAGAAGATCGTCCCCATCGACCAGAGTGCGCCTGCTGCTACGCCATCCACACGTCGCCTCGGCTCATCCGCAGCACCTGAACGACCGCCTTCACCAGCATCTTCCCTCGGCCCGCTTTCATCGCCACACAAACCGCCACCCGGCCAGCGCTCAAAACAGCCCAACAGCAACGCTGCCTCCGCTATGCCTGCACGCCTACCATCCCCAACCCTCTCCGAGATCTCAACATCAGCATCCGAAGGCGGTCAAGATGGCGCACCCTCTACAAATCAGCAACGCTTGCGATCCGCCTCCCCCGAGGGAGACGAGCTTGCTGACGAGTCTGTTAGAGAACCTCTCGCCAACAACGACGCCCAAGTAACATGTCAGTGGAACGACTGCGGAGAGACATTCAACAGTCTACAGCCCTTTATCGACCATTTGCATCACCAGCATATCGGTATTCATAAGAGCAAGTACATGTGCGAATGGACTGGATGCATTCGAAAAGGAAAGCCGCAGACTTCGAGGTTTGCGCTACTAAGTCATTTGAGAAGTCATACTGGTGAAAAGCCTTTTACTTGTCCTCGACCAGGTAAGTCGCCTCCCACGCAACCCATACAGCTTTCGCTCATCTCTCTGGCTTGACTTACAGCCGACTGACACCCCCACATATACTTTGCATCATTGCCAACAGAATGCGATAAGAGCTTCACTAGATCCGATGCGCTCAGCAAACACATGCGAGTTCAACACAACATCATCACCGCTGGCTCACGCAAAGCAGCCGCCTCTTCCGCCGCAGCACAAGAAGAAACCCCGGAAAACACCTCCATCCTCACAGGCGAAGGGGCTGATTCTGCTTCTCCTGCCAAACCAGCTGGTGTTGGCGCAGCAACTGGCGATTCTCTCGGCGATGAACTACTCGAGCTTGCTGAAGGAGAAGAAGGCTTCCCTCTCACCAAAGGTGCATCTGGCGAATCTAACCTTAACACAATGACGGCCGAAGAACTCGGCATTCAAGACCGCTTACACCCGGATAAGGATACAGAACAAGCGAGACGTACCGAAGCTGTACTAGGACGCGCATTACGAACCTGGGCGAAAGATATGCGTGAACGCCAACGCAACAGGAAGCTCCGCGAACCTCCTATCCGACCTCCTAACGGCCTTGCGGTGGATGCGGATGATTCGCTCAACGGCACAGCATCCACTAGTACTGCTGGAGTCAAAAGAGCTAGACCGACCGACTACGATAGTGACTCGGGAGATTCAATGCCTGACCTATCCGAATTGAGACGATCGAGACGTAGCCTCCGCGCCTCTTCTTCCACTGCCGCCGTTAACGGTAGCTCTCGACGTCGATCTTCTCGTTTCGCCAGTGACGATGCTCCGCAAGACTCCACGTCAGTCGCCACCCCAGGGGGCAATTCGATGGAAGCAGCACAGAACGCAATCCGTACAGCTCGGAACCGATATCTGGTGGAAAAAGCCAAACTTGAATTCATCCGCTCCGAAAACTCTCGACTCTGGCAACATCTACAGACTCTCGACGCGGAACAGAAAAGAGTTGCAAAAGAATGTACATCGGCGTTGGAACAAGCTTTGCTTTTCGAATTGGGTCCCGATGTAGATGCAATTTTTAGCCCACCTACTTCACCAACTCTGCCATCAAGCGGAGTGGGGGAAAAAGAGGCCTTGAGACAGGAGGTCGAGGAAGAGCAAATCGCTGCCAGAGGCACATTCATTGATGATGAGCTTAACATCAAGGCTGTTGCTGCGACTTAGATGCAACGTGGAGGTTAAGGGTTGTGGTTGATAATGGCTTAAGAGCTTTTCGTGTATTTGTAGCATTGTTGGAAACAAGCAATATCCATGACAAGTGACTTCTAGTTGACCAGAGCGACGCAACGAAACGCAATGCTTGTCTTGGTGCCAACACTGGCACATTTTGGTCTTGACAGTCGGACCTAGATGCGACAGGCAAGAACTTGGCAGCTGGTAAGATTGATAAATGCTCACAAAGCCACAATCACATGGGCATCTAAAAAGTACAAACTATGGTCGACGATGTAATCCAGCCAACTCGCTCGCTCTGCTTCAAGAAGAGGCAAGTGGAGACTGCAAGTAAAGTAGAGGATGGAAAGATTTGCAATCTAGATGTAAGGTATCTAGATGTAAGGTATCTAGATGTAAGGTATCTAGGTATGGCTTGGGTCAAAGGTGTACCTAATTGATTTAGTTGGTGTTCTTGGGTGCGTTCTGTATGTTGAATAACCTGCTGCTGGTCGTGCGAACCTTGCTGTGCTGGGAGGTTGAGGTGAGGGTGAAACGTTGACGAAATCGGCATAGTGAAAAGTTGGATCTCCTCCTGGAGCACCTGGAGCGTTAGGTGGAGTGTTTGGCATTCTTACATTGAATCTATTCCAATTGCAACAAGGTGGGGAAGGAGTACGGTCAAGACGCGGCGTTCGTTGATTGAGAAGCATGTATTCTTCTGCATTTGCTGCTTTGCGCGGGATGCTAAGCGTCGAGGATGGAAGAGAGTCCTCATGGAATGCAAGAGCGAACACTGACGTCTCATAGCCTGCGTTGGCTCTTGTAATCTTGCGTTTTCTTGCGCTTGGAGGAGGAGTAAGCGGAGTGCTAACCAAATTAGCATGTCCTGATACAAATCCAGCACTACTTTGTTCAAGCCTGCTCCCTCTTTCACCAGAATTAGAAAGTGCTTCGGAAGATGTGTTGAAAGCATCCCAAAGCCAAGTTTGAGCTGGTGTAGACAAGATGTCGTTACTGGCAACTGTTTGGGTATCTGCACTAAACCGTTTAATCGAGGATGGAGAAGGAGAAGAAGCTAGGAAAATAAGGTAATCTGCTGCCGCTCTAACTTGACCTTGCTCCTCCGCTTGTGCTTGCTTGTTGTTGGTCTTGTCTTGCTCCGCCTCTTCCTCTGGGTGGATGGGAAGTATGTTGGAAGAAACATTTCTCTTATGTCCTCTCTTCACTACTCCAGAATGCGCCATACTCTCTCGGCGAATGGTAGGACTAGCAAATGCAATTCCCAACCCTGCCCGCTCCTGCATAGAAGACGACGTTTGAGGAGCCGGGCTATGTAGCCTATCACTACCCAAACTGAAATCAAAACTACTACTACTACTACCACCATTATCCCTCGCTTCAGCTAAGCCAGCGAGTGTAGTCGCCACTCGATCTCTCTCTTCTTGATCCTGTTCTGCTGCCGAATGCTGCAAGGGTTGCATTGCGAATACCTGACGTGCAGATGCATTTCCAAAGCGAGCAGTCCCAGGTGCAGTCAAGCCAAGATCTTGTGCGAGTGATGAAGCCGGGTGACCATTGGACAAGAAACCTCCTGCACTGCTCTTCATCCTTACCCGCTTCAATGTTCCCAATAAAGGGTTTGCTGTAGAAGCATTGTAACTCGCTTCTCCTCGACGCTTCTCCTGCTCGCTGGAAGGAATAGCAAAAGATTGCTCTGCTGCGAGTTTAGACTCGTAGGCGAGCATTGCAGGAGTTGGATTGTTATGCCAATCGAAAGGACCATTCTTTCGCTCTGGCGAGCCGAGCTGTGGTGAAGAAGCGGCTTTGTCAAGCAAGGAGCTAGTTTCAGCGCAATTCGAAAAGGATTGAGAAACAAACTTGACAGAATTGCAAACAGTACGCTTCCTAGCAGTACTGGTGGAAGCGAAAGAAGTTGCTCTGCTCAAACGCTTTGATGAGCTTCGAGTCGCACTCAAGTCTCGTCCAAAGATGTCCATGTAGATCGACCTCGTGCATCGTGCTGATGACTCACACGAGGATCGCAGGGATCCAGATTGCAACAGATCGGCTGTGGAAAGCTGCGGTGATGACTGCGAGGCCGACTGTGTTACTGTGCAGGTATGATTCTCGACCAAGCTAGTTGTAGGAGGTTGTTGTAGAGGCTCAAAGAGGTCCGTGAAGCAAGCCTTGCCTACACCGTTACATGCTTTGTATGAGGCGAGCTGGAGACGAGTGCGAAGTGCATGTGCGTAAATCTCGACTTGGTGACGCCTTGTTCCAGACCCTTCCGCCTCCGCTGACGATGAGGAGGTCGCCATTGTAGATGATGAACAGGAAGAGTCAGAGCTTATTGATTGTATCCAACGATGCGAAGGCGAGCATCATGAATGCATCCGAGGTGATGATGGTTGCCAGAGGTTTCTGTCGACAACTCTTTCTTCTCCGTGTCTGCGATGAGATGGTGGTGGTGCAGCTTGCTTTAGCTTGCTTTAGCTTGCTTTAGCTTGCTTTAGCTTGCTTTAGCTTGCTTTAGCTTGCTTTAGCTTGCTGATGGAGGATAGGCTTGATGAACGGATATGTATATGGATGAGTGATGGTAGGATGCGCAACGAGTGCAAATCTGAGCCCATTGATTAGATCTCCTTTGCAAGCAACCCAAACGGCGGCTGTGCAACATTGACAACTGCAGCATCACTCTATCCAGCATGATCAGCATCAAGATCAGCAGCACAAGTGCAGCAAGCCAAGCGCTATTCCTTTGTGTACCAACCGAGAACAAGAAATCCAAATTCCTACCGAAAACAAACCAAAAAAAAAAAAAACAAAAACAAAAACAAAAAGCTTTCGGGATTCTTCAAGCACCATTCACGCGTCCACGCGTCGTGTTCAAACCCACACTGTTCCAGAACCATACGAACGCGTCTTGTGCAATCAAACGCGACACGCAACGCGTTAATCTTCCCTAACCCTAACCCTTCCTTTTTCCCCAAACTCGCGTCGACTCAAAAAAAAAAAAACAAAAAAAAAACACCAAAAAAACCCCTTTTTTATTTATTTATTTTACTGTCGATCCACACTCGATTTTACCTCTCGCATGTTAGACTTTCACTCATCCAAGCTAGGCAGAACATGGTGAGAGAATCGAGCGATCAGAGAAGTAGAGAGAAGTCTTACATGTTGGTACAATTCTATGTATGCCAGTTGCGGTGATGGTTACAAGTACAATTTGATACAATGCAATGTTTCGTACTATGCTATCTTATCCTACGACGTCCGGTGAGAGTATGCTTGATCGTCCACCGACGGCAAGGTTCGAGAGGGAAACGTAGAAGAAGAAGAACAAGTCCAACACTGTTATATGCTAGCCTTCAAGTAGCCACTCCTTTGCCAAGTTGCGAGGGATTGGGAGATCAAGGCCACCATTCATCCTCATCCAGATACTGTTCCTGATCGCTCGTGTTGGTTCGATCCATCCAAGAATCGTCTCCTCCTTCGCCCTCCGCCTCTGTTGTCTCTCGAAATGCTCCATTCTCTCCTCCTGCCGCCGCTGCCGCTCTTCCGCTTACAACTCCGCTTCCTGCCGTTGCTCCTACTGCTGTCGCTGTCCCATTCGCGCTGGTGCCATTCGCACTGCTGCCGTTCGCGCCACTGTTGCTGCCACCTACATCCAGATACGACGCCGGTAGGGTCGCCGAGGTCCTCCTGGCTTGCTCGTCACTGTTCCGCTCCGGCCTTCTGATCTGTATACGCCGCGGATCGTAAGGCCTTGAGATGGCCTCCGTTCGCGGTCGCTTGCCTGGACGTCGGATCTCTTCGTCCTCTGGCGTCGCTTCGACGCGTGCTGCCGCTGCCGCTGCCGCTGCCGCTGCCGCTGCTGCGAAGGGACCTGTGTGGGTAGGCGTTGCGGTCGAGTTGCCGGCGAAACTGCTGAAGCCGACCCTATTCCCCGTGCTCGAGTGATTGGCACTACCATTGCTGCTGCTGGTGTTGGTGTTGGTGTTGGTGTTGTAGGGAAGCTGCGGAGGAGGGCGACTGCTGCTGACAGAAGACGAGGCGTGAGAGTGGCTGCCATTGCTTGGTGCAGCTGCGCGTGCAGGCATCGACGGTTCACTCTCATCATCACTATCAAGCGTCAAGTCGATGACATCTGCAGCACCCGCTGCGGGCGAGGCACATGCGCTCGTATTGGTGCTGCTGCTGAGAAGCTCTATGCGTTCGTGTCGCAGCGCGTTGGTTGCTGCTGATGGTGCCCAAGATATTCCGTTGCGGATTTGATGGGCTGCTGCTCCGGCCGAGGTCGGACTAGGTGCCGCTGCAGACAGTACTGATGTAGATGCGGCAGCCGAAGCACGTTGTGGCGGAGGCGATGGGCTGTCCAGCAAGACAATCTCTGGCAGAGGCCATCTTTTCGTCCCGTTGGCCTTGCCGCTACCTCCCATGCTCGGCTTCGCTTCTTCGGGACTATGACCCTTCAATCTGTCTCCCAATGGAGTCCCCTCTGCTGCCGGTGTTGCTTGCCCAGTCCCCGTGGAGCTAAACTTGCCATCTGATGTTCTCCACGATCCATCCGGCTCGACAATGACCGACTCCTGATCCTGCGGTACCCTCTTGAGAATATCAGCGACGAAACCGTCCATAATCAGATCTTCCGCCTTGATGGTCCTGTGACAGATAGGACACTCCCACGATGGTGTCTGCTCGTTAACCGAGAAGAAGCTCTCGGCACCAAAGCATTGCACGTGTGAACAGTGCTGTGAACGTGACGGCGTCTTGATACGCATATAGCTGAACGGACACTTAAGACTCATCGTAGCTGCACCTTGCTCGATATCGTCATCGGCGGCTTCCCTGCGCATGCGTGAGAGAAGGTCCTCCTTGCTGCGGAACTGCTTGGTGCGCACACGCTCAACAAGTGTATCAACGCTGGTCACTTGACAGATGGCAGCGACAAGCACGTGTCGTTTGGGCGCATTGGTATAGGTCAAGTCGATGCGATTAGGTCGTCCAGCAAGCAACACAAGATTGTTATCCTTGTTGAGGTTGGGCGGAGGCACTCGGCCAATGTTCTTCTTGCTGCCTCTGAGGTTGATGGAGAGTGGGTGGTTGTTGACACGCGCTTCGCAGGTGAGCGGGAACTCGATTGTGGCAGGATTGCGGCCGGAAAGTGAAGCAGCGTGCGCTTCTACCGTGGTGCAAAAGAGGCGGAGTTGATAGGTTGCGGGATTCTTGAGCTGCTCGGACTGCTCGGGTGTGAGGTTGACGAAAAGGGTCGCATTCTTGCGATCGGCTTGCGTGGGCGCTTCTTGACACTGGACGATAGGAGATACGAACTGCTTGATCTCGTAGAAGGGGGAAGAACGAAAGTTGATCCGGGCGGCACCTGCGGTGCCGATAGGACGTGAAGCCGTCGGGGTTGCGGAACCTAGAGGAGAGTAAGAAGACGAGGCAATGCTTGATGCTTTGTTGGCGGGGGCTCCTCCAAGAGGTTGTGGATGTGCGGCGTACACTCCAGCGGCTGGCAAGCCACCATACGTACCTGCACTTGATGTTGAGCTGTAGAGAGACAAAGGATAAGGTGCGCAAAGGTCAGCCAAGCTGATCATCACTTTTTGCATTGCGGAAAGCAGCACGAACTCAGAGGAGAGAGGCTGCATCGAGGCAGGACTTACCCATTCCTATAGGGAGAAGTTGTGACGGGCGGACCCTTGTATCGCTGAATCAAAGTGCGGAATTTGGAGTATCCGCGGATATCACCCTGATTCTTGCGTTCTGTGAGGCAAGTGATCAGACGATTGATAAGTTCTGGCTTGTTGCCAGAGAGAGCAAGACGACCGCATGTAGCTTCTGGCTCGTTGTTGACGTCTTTGATGAGCGCTTTTGCTTGAGCTACGGTGAGAGCTCGTATTGCTTCCACGAGCAACTGCGGGAGTGTGTGATGGTCAGAGTGGAGGCGAAGCGGTCACGGAGTCAGTACGTCGTGCGGAAGAAGCGGCGGCAGAATGATCGCAGCAGATGCGGCAATACTTACAGCATGATCAGCAAAGCCGCTCGAAGAGGCATCGGCGGCGGCCATAGCTTGAAGACGAGCATCCACTTGCGGCTATCGAGATTGCAGCTTGGCTCAAGTGGAGGTCGGTGAGGAAAAGATGATCTTTCGAAGTTGCAAGAGGACTGAAAGATGTACCCTTTGCGGGTATGATGGCTGCCTAAGGGTGTATACGCAGCATAGGATGGTGTCGGGAGTGAGGTCGGGAGTGAGGTCGGGAGTGAGGAAGGTCAGGAGTGATAGAGGGAGAAGGAGAGGCGGGAGAGCGGAAAGAGAGAGTCGATGAGCAGCAGATAGCAAGTTAGTTGCTTGTCTGCTGAGTTAGCTGTCCGATTGAATTTCCCGATTCCTTTTCGAATTTCCCGATTCCTCCTCGAATTTTAGCCACAACACCGCGACCTAACAGCATAAAGAAGAAGAAAGAAGTATAAAAAAACAAAAGAAAAAAAAATTAAAAAATTAAAAAAAACCGGCCGAGAGCGGACACTATAGTGGTCACACTTCCGCAGCTTACCTCCTTGCGACACAGTCGAGGTGTAAGAAGCTGCAGGGGACAGGTCAATGGCGTTGCTGGATGCTTAGAAGTACAGATTGTGGTGTAGTCAGGATCAAGGCCGAGTTCGAGTCACTTTTGAAAGATCGAGCGAGCGTTCTCGTTGGCCAAGGATGCACCAAACAGGCTGGTGGGCCTGGTCTGAGGTTGTGGCGACTTGGATCCATCAACCTCTACATCCACCCCAGTCGCCTTGTCACCTTTCTCCGCGTCATCTTCTGACTTGCTGCTTGCAAAAGGAGAGGTAGGGTCGTTGACCATCTTGTGTCGCACCAGCTCTAACGACATCCTTGCGTCTTCAAGCGACGAGTGTCCCAAGCTGGTGCCGTTCTGGATGATCTTGCCTAGAAACCTTGCAGTCAGATCTCGGAGTGAGGTGCGGAAAGGGAAACCACGTGCATGCGGGAAGAGCATCACCGTGTCTACCAGTCTGTCATGCACCAATCGTATCGCACGCAGGTCATTCTCCAGGCCGTGACCGACCAAGATGGTATTCTCGTCGACAAAGCGTGCCATGGTCTTGCGCACCTCTTCTAGCGTGAAGATAGCCTTCTGCTCATATTCCTCCGCTGTGATACCCGAGAAGCGTGTGTTGTAGTCGACGATTTCGGTGCGTGTGCGTACGATCTCGTCAAGGATCATTTCGCCTTCTTCGTCCACCAGGGTCAACCGAGTCAAAGTGAGGCCCGCCGTGGTGTAGCTCAACTCGCAGTCGAGTGCAACAATCTCTAGTGGGTCAGTTGGTGCCTCGTCCAACGATTCGATGAGCTGTTTGGTAGTGATGAACGCTTCTCGACGGTGCAAGTCGAGTCCGTCGGTTTCTTTGAAGACATGCGGTCCAAAACAGCAGCTGTCATCTCCCAGGCTACTGCTTCCAACTGTCTTGTTGCAGCAGGTCCAGACGTTGACTCGGCCTTTGATTCCAGCTTGCTTCTCGAAGCGTCGCTTGCCCCAGTGATATCTGCACTCCTTGGGGCTTTGCGGTATCCTCTCCGTGCGTGCCTCATTCAGTTCGCCACCAACAGTAAACTTCTTGCCGCATCGCTCGCACTCCTTGACCTCTCCTGTCGCATCTGGTTTGCTTCCTGCTTCGCTTTGCCATTCAGGTGGGATGTTTGCTGTATACTCGTACTTCTCCAACTGGTCCACGGGGCAAACAAAGCCAGTGTTCTCCAACCTAGCTCGATCGAGCTTACCCGATCTCCTCGCCTGCGCTCTCTTGCGCTTCTCATTGACCTGCATCGTCGTTCCTGTCTCGGTACACCATTCCGTTAACACCTGCAGAACTCTTTCGCGCAGGTCCGGCTTTCCCTGATGCGTGCGAGCCTGAATCGCAGCTGCCTCGGCGGCAGCGTGCATGGCCTCGCTGTCGCGCTTCTTAAGCCCAACAAGAAGAGTGATGCAGCTGTTCTTGTAGGTGTGCTTGGTGGATTTGGCAAAGTGTTCCTGTTCTTGCGCAAGTGCATGGTCCCGGCAGAGCTGCTGACCAGAGGCTGCTACAATTGGATCTGTGCTTTGAATGATGGGCTCGTAGGCTGCGATAAAGGCATCGTAGAATGCTTTGATACCCTTCTGGCGTGCAGGGAGTGGGATGGTCGAGGATGACGGGTGGTCTCTGAACGTTATAGTTGGTGGCTTGAGACTGACGAGCGACCAATCGTTGCTACTGCTACCGGATTTGTTGATGCTGCCGTTTGCTGTCTTCGATGCTGTCGTCGAGGTTGATGTAGATGAAGAGGATGAGCCAGAGAGCTTACTTGCGGCGTAAGCGTTCTTTGCCTTCTTGAGCGGCGGGCCGGAGGCACTGCTGATTCCATTCGCGCTGCTGGAAGTGACGACAGTCGAAGAGCCCGGCGTTGATCGTTTCGGCGAGGTCGGAGTAGTGGCTGCGGCGGTTCGTTGAGGTGTAGCTCCTGAAAGAGTGGCACGATTGCTCGATGGTGTTGATGTCACTGTCGCCAGTGCAGCTGGGGCAGCGGGCACAGGCTTGTGTGAGAAGGGACAGAGCGCTCTGCTGCGTTCGCACTCGCCCTTGGCATGGTCATGACACGGAAGCTTGGCCAGCAAGCCGAGTGACTTGAACATGGTTCTTGAGTCAGCTCGTTGGGTGTCGACGAGAAGAAGTTGCACGATTTGACATTGTTTGGCGCAGCAGACTGCATCACGTGATTTCATAGAAAAGGCGTACGCCTGCCTGCACTGGACTCAGCCATGCCGAAGGAAGCGATTCGATCTGATGATGCACGCTGACATAAACGCAATCGGCGATCAGAAGGGTCAGATTTATCTAGAGATCGGGTGCAACGTAGTCCCGCACGTTGTCAAGCTAGGTCATGAAGGATGATACTCCCACAGTCGTATATATATCAAGCTGAGAACACTAGCTTCTCACCACGTTCACCCAGTCAATTGAGTATACATGTTTCTCTCTTAAAGCAACAGTGACATCGTACTTAGACTGTCCCCGATCGCCAGTTATCGGGACGAAACCGTCTTGACTTTTAACATTGCATTGTTCTGCTCTCCGCTCTTCACTATCATCAACCTTCTCCAAAGCCAGGCATAGGATAACCTGGTTTGTCGATTATTTGCCCACGGGTCTTTGCCTGTAATCCACCTCGGCTAGTTTAGTTTTGTCTCGTGCGATTGAGTTTAGAGGGGAAAGCAGAGGAAGGAAAAAAAAAAAAAAAAAAAAAAAAAAAAAAAAAAAAAAAAAAAAAAAAAAAGAAAAAAGAAAAAAAAGAAAAAAAAGAAAAAAAGAAAAGTCTCGTCTTTCTCTCTCAATTTTGAGAGCTTTTAGTTGAAGTAGATAAGGCTACACAAAGCGTAGAGACAGTGAGGGTAGCGCTTACGGCCGAGTAAAAGGCCTGAGCATCTGAGCACGAACCACATGTGTCACAACCTACTCAAGACAAAATGCTTTGTTATGTTTCGCAGTTAATGCGGCTCTCTGCCGCTCTTCTTTTGTATATATATAGACTCCTCGCTCTCTCGCTCTCTCTCTCTCTTACCATTATCATCAACAAGACGCCTCAACTCCAACCACTGACGAATGACTTCAACGCACTGACAAATGACTTCAACTCTTTTTTGGAGGGAGAATTTCAGAGTGCATTTTGGCTGTTAGAGTTATATCATCGAGGAGGTCAACAGTCTGGATCATCTTGATATGGAGTGATGCTCATCCAAGCAAGCGTAGGAAGCCAAACAAGTGCAGCTGGGTCGAAGTGGCACAAAGATCATGCCCTAGCTCGCATCTCGATGTTGAAAGTGGTCCAGAGTGCCTCTAGAATGGTCATGCCGTATAGCCTTTTGGCGGTGGCAGGCTGCCACTTTTGCTTGACAATCTTGACCTCCTCTCCATCCTTCTGCTGAATCGTTCTAGCTGGCATTCGCTCGTAACCGTACTTCTGACCTTGATCTGTGCTTCTGACGCCAGGCAACTGCCTGTTGACGCTTCCTGCCATCTCGCGCAAATCCAACACTTTGCCTGCGAAAATGTTGAGCATCAAACAGCAGCTTCCAGAGCCAATCAAACTCTGCACAACGTTTGAGCTATACTGTCGGTTGTGCTCCTTGGACTCTCTTCGTCTTATGCAGAGTGCCTCTGCAAAGTCGCGCTCCGTCATATCCTGCTTGAGCTGGCCGTGCTTGAGGTGAGTGGGGAACCAGCGGTCGATCAGGTCCTGGTGAGGCCGGGAGAGTGCACGGGGATCCCTGTTCCAGTCTGCAAGGTAGTAGTCTGGTCGTAAGAGACTTGCGTCATGCTCGATTATGTTAACAATGCCAATCGAATCGAGATCAAAAACATGTCCCTTCTCGCTCAAGACGGGGAAGAGAGGCGAGTAAAGCTGCAAAGCCATGGTCGGGGCAATGTTGAAGGCGCGCGAGATAGCGGCAACCATCTTTGATGCTGGCACTTTCCTGCCTGACGTGTCGACGATCCCGTGCGTCGCAAGCATGTTGAGGCCAGGGCAAGGGCATCTACTGTCCACGTCGGTTGTGGCATATGGTGTGCCCCATTCTCCTTTATGGCCAATGCCCTCCCAGTAAGCCCAGTCACGAAACCAATCGTTCCTGGCCTTTCTGCCGTAAAGATCGTGGTGCAGCCTGAGACCCTCCTGATAATTGGTGAAGAAGTTGTACAGGTGTACAAGGCGACAGTAAATGTGAGTCAAAGGCCACTGTGCCAACGGAGGTGGGCTCGTAGGAGAGAAGGCCGGAGGAACACAGTTCTCGGGCAGAGGAGAGATAATGCCGATCTTGACGAGCGTGCGATGGAGCATGTTGAATCCTGTCAGCCAGAAGTCAACGATGAAGATAAAGAAGAGGGCAACCTTGACGTTGAGTTGCGGTCGATTCTGCTGCATGAGCTGTGCGGCAAGGCGGATCATGGATGAATCGCCTTGGTGCATCTTGTGAGCCTGATCGCGAGTGTGGCCGTTGGCCTTGGCCTTGGTCTTGACCTTGATTTCGACTGTAGCCGTCATGGTAAGGTGAGCCCAAGTGCAAGGGGATGATGGGGAGCACGGACTATCGTAGGCCAGAGTGCCGAGTCATATATATATGTTTGCCTTGCAGGTCTTAGGTCCTCAGCGAAGGCTCTGAAAGCGCAAGATAGCGGGCTCCTCGGCGGACAAAGTGATACACACACACACATACAAACATGGAACAAGAGGAGCAGGAAAAGGTCGAGCGTCAGGAGAGCGGGACGGTCAGCCACAGCACTTCCGTTGGAGTACTTGCATTGGAGCAAGGACCATTAGAGCAACGACCATTGGAGCAACGCCCATTGGAGCACGCAAACCAAGCGCGGCAAACGTACAGCCGATAGTCGGGCCTAACTGGAAGAGGAGAAGATGGCAAGTCGATCATCGTGTTCTCTGCCGCATGGAGCTCCATGGCAACAGACGAGCGGGACTCGAATCATCAACCGCAAGCAACCGCAAGCAACCGCAAGCAAGCTGGAACTCGAAATGCCATGGACAAGAGCCAATCTGAACCCAAAGCGGCAAAGAAAGGCCAAAACTCACAATCCCGTCTGGACTCAATCGCAGGAAACAAGAAGAAAACTAAGTGGATTGCAGACAAAGAGCGCTGAGGTCCTCGAAGCTCGACAAGCAGCGGTCGAGCGCAGAAACGAGCTGGCAAGGGAGAGTGTAGGGTGTAAAGGGAGGGCAAAAGGCTGTTAATGGTATGCCAGCGCTCCTGGTGAAGAGAGGAGCGGAGAAGCAGAACAATTCCATTGTTAAGTCGAGCCGGGATGCACACGCCTTCCTGACGATCACCTGATGCACAAACCAAACCCTTACTTGGGCCCTGAGAAGAAGGAGGGGATCCGCTTCCTCTTTTGTTCCTCATCTTTGCTACATTTCATGAGGGCCAAATGACGCCAAGCTTTCGGGCTTGACCACAAGTACTGTAGGATGCAGTTCGCCAAAGCAGAGCGGTTGTGTAGCCAGGCCAGGAGGAGACAAGCTCCCAGCGAGTCTTTCCCGGTCCTGCAGGTTCATGCACAGCGGGGCCCGAATCTTGTCCTAAGTCAGCCATCCTTCTCCTTTGCTCTCTCTCTCTCTCTCTCACTTCTCGCTCGTTGAAAGGTTCAGACTGGACAAAGTTAGCCGTCAAGCCTTCACTCGCTCGGCAAAGAAGAGCTCGGCAGGAAATACCACTGCATTGTTTCTCAGCAGCGTCTCTACGGTCTTGTGCAATGCTGAATGACGGTGTATTGCGATCTGACAGCTAGCTACTTGACTTGAAGATGCCCATCGGCCATGATACCATCCTCGATACAAAAGGATGCAAGTATACCTCAGCATATCTATCCGAGTGGAAGAGGTGCATTGAAAGTGTCGTGAGGATAAGTTCAGCCGTAGAAAGCGGCATGATTGCAGATAGGACCTTCGCAGAGCGCTTTTACATGCTTTACAATCTTGGCCGCTGGCTCAGGTGCAGGTATGGGATTGGGTTCCGGGTATGGGTTGCGTTTGAACACCATTTTTTCTGCCCTATCTCCTACGAGAAGATCACTCCTCTTGACTAGAGTGTCCCTGCCTCTCTCCTTTTCGATGGGAGCAGCCAAGGTCGCTGCAATAAAGGATAGCAGGAGCAGCAACACCGCGGCTCGGAAAGTGAGCGAGGTGGACTGAATCGTGCCTAGGCCTACCGTCTTGACCATGGTGTAAGGATGGATGTTGATGCAGACGACTTCTTGATGCTCGCGATTACGAAGGTGGTCGGATATAGCTCAAGTATCAAAGATGAAATCGGCGAGTGAACCTCTCTGCTCAGCAAGTCTTTTTATACCATGAGGGAGGGAACGGCGTCCTTTGTGCTGAGTAGAATTGTGCACAAGACTTCATCTCGTTCATTTCATGTGACAACCAGCGAGCCTCGCAACCGTATCAGCCAACAGTCCTCGCTCTTGCAGCTCTCAGGCATGCGTCTGTGGGAGACTTCATTTGTTCACGGCTGACAAGGATAGCATCCCTTGTGCTTGTAAGGCGCGATACTTGCAGATTGCAGAAAGTTCTAGATCCCCAATCGAACAACACCAGCGCCGATGCATCCTACACCAAAAACAACCAGCGTTGCGGCCCATAATGGTCTTGCTTTCACACCCGCCGGTAGTGGCGAGCGACGCAAGATACCCATCCGATACGCTTCGACGAAAGAGTAAGCTCCGAGCCCGGACATGGCTGCGAACCCGGTTAAACGACATGCTAGGCAGTCGGATCCGGGAAGACGTGCGTTGGCTGAAGCAGCGGGCGATGATTCGAGAGTCGAGCGGACCAAGTACTGGCATCATGAGAGAAGGACAGAAAGAAACAGAGACAAAGTTGTCAACACAGCCATTCTCACGAACCAAGGCGACAGAGCCACTGGAAGAAACACGCCTTTTCCGCCCAACAACGACACGAGAGCTGGGAGCTGGGAGCTGGGAGCTGGGAGCTGGGAGCTGGGAGAATGCGAGGCCTGCAAACTTTTCGGGCTGAAAGCTATAGCGGATTGCCATCATAGACCTCGCTAGGTATCCGAGCTTTCCCTTAATCTGACCAGGCGTTGCAAGGGCGGGAAGAGACGAGAGCTGCAGTTGCGACACAGTCTTTGGCGACGCTGCCTGCTGACTGGCGGATGTTTTTGGAACTTGCATGTGTATTTGACCCCTTTGTCGATGACAGTATCAAAGTTGATGGGAGATGTTTGTGCTGCTAAGAGTTGGGAATCAAGTATCTAGACTCTGCGCACCTTTTCCTCAATCTTGTGAGCCTGGGCCTTGGCCGAGTCGAGTGCCTGCTGACCCTTTTGTTCCGCTTTTTCAACAACGCTGGCGCCCTTGTCCTGTGCCTCGTGCTTAGCAGCGGAGAAAGCTTCGCCGGCCTTTTGTTGAATCTTTTCCAAGGTCGTTTGCGGTGCCGAGCTGGTAGCGGAGATGTTAGCGGAAGAAGAGGAGGGGACGACACGAACACCGGGAACGGCGACGGGGTTGAAGGAGCGCTCGCAGTCGGTGTATGCAGAGCCAAGACCGAAACCGGTACCGAGCCAGACAGGGAATGCTCGTCCTGTGATGCGTAAGATGCAAAGGTAGACGGTGATGAAGGAAGAAGAGTGAGCGCAAGGGACGAATGAATTGCAAATTTGTTTGAAAAGCAACTTACGTCGGAAGAGGAGGACCGAGAGGAGGACACCAGCAGAGAAGCCGATACCGGTTTTGACTACTGCATTGCTGATGCACAAGTCAGTCTGTTCAATGTCGACACGGCAATGTCACAGGAGGATGTAAGTGAGCTTCAATGTCAGTGTTCGACATTACTGACTTTGGTTCGAAAGTTCTGCCGGCTTTACCTACCTTCTGCGAGATGATGTCCTCGGATGACACCTTTGTGCTCGATGTGGAAGCCGGTTGGGAAGCCATTGCTGCAGATATGATAGGACGAGATGATCGTGGAGGAAGGCGCTAGTCCGAGGTTGACAACAACGATGAGCCCTGCCGATTCTTCTTGATTCAAGCGACTTTTTCCGATTGTATTTCGATTCGATCGTCACTCAATCCTCCACACTCCTTTCGGCCGGCTCGGTCGCTACCCGTTCCATGCAATTTGGCGCGTTTTCAATAGTGTTAGCTCTGCACAGCTAACATCGCTCAGAAATCCGCCGAAGGGTCCTGGCTCGGTCGTGACGACATTGACTTCTATGCGAACCACTCATTCACCTTGAAGGAGCCCAACGAGGTCATAGAGGAATAGCAGACGGTTGCCCAGGGAACAGAAGCCTGGCCAACAGTTTTCTTAGAGAAGCATGATTTGCCAAGAGCCGTCAACAAGTATGCCTCAGAAAAACGAGAGTTCTTGGGTGCGAGCGCTAAGTTGTGGGCCTTGACGAAAGTAGGCTTGACAGGTATGCTGTATATCTACCAGGGACAGGAGATTGGTATGACGAATGTGCCGACAAGCTGGAGTCATGAGGATGACATTGCGATCAATTACTACCGTGATGCTGTGACGCGGTCTGGCGGCGACGAGAAGGTGCTCAAGAAGACTGTATTGCACATCAACAAGGAGGGTAGAGACAAGGCACGCACACATGTTCAATCAAGTGCCGAGTCCGACGGTGGTTTCAGCACAGATGCCAAAAGGACCCCGTGTCAGCTCGGACGATGGGAGGGCAGAATGTCCATCTATCAGCCTTGATCGCCAATCACCTTTGCAATGTTTGACAGGAAATGCAGGTTTTTACCAGCCATGAAGCTGCTTGTTGGGCAATACATTGTGATGCGTTAGAACCCATCGGATCCGATACTGTATCGCTGCTTGAATAGACGACGACGTGTGGCAACAAATGGCGACATATCAAGCGTTGCTCCCAGTCACCGTTTCGGATTCCGCAAACTTACCGCAAACTTGCTCCTTAAGGGGGTATCAAAGTTTTTGCGTTTTTATAAACCCGGGTTTTTTCAAGAGCGCGTTTTTCAAAAAAACGCAAAAGCTTACATAAGCTCCGCAAAGGGAAAAAAAAAAAAAACCGCATTTTCAAAAACGCAGCTCAGGAGGCACATTTGCGAAAATGCGGTTTTTTTATCACTCCACATCTTCTCTCCTTTCCTCACTCTCGTCGCACTTTTGCTCACTCCCTCTTCCTTGTGCTCATTCAACATGACCTCCTCCACTGATGATTCTCGTGACATCTCTGCAGAGTTGTTATGCCAGTCCACTACACAATCTGACAGGCACTCTCTCTTCTGCTGTTCAATACAACTCTTCTCACCACCATATGAAACATTACATTGTGTGAAGAGGAAAGCAAGATATAAGCAAGCAATGGGTGATAGCGACGAGAGCAGGACAAGTATCATATGCTCACTGTTAGGTTACGTCTCTTATCGGCTGTATAATTTATGTTTCATATGATTACTGTTAGGTTACACCTCCTTTCGGCCGTATGATTCATGCTTCCTATGCTTACTTTTAAATTACGTATTTTATCGGCCGTATGATTTCATCGCGTTTTTGGAAACCTGCTTTTCCTTTTCATAATGTATTTCATCATTGGCGCTTCTCGCGCGGGTAAATAGCTTGTGTCGAATGCAGACTTTGACAGGGTGCCTTGCATATATAGGAAGGAACGGCGAGCACGCCATCCATTCGCTCGCTGACGAAATAAAACATCATCCCGATTCCCCTTTTTGCCGTATTGACTGGCTGATGTCCACTATCTACAACATGGCTAGGCTCGCATCAAATCTCCTCTTATACACTTTGTTCGTCGGTGATTTTCTTCTTGATTCCCCTCTACCAACTTGCTACAACCTGCATTCTCGTCTGGATCAACGCTCAGCCCTGCCGTCGAAAGGGTTACACAGACCATCATGTCGAACAACATCGACAACACCATCGACAACGAGATTGTCGTTGGTCAATCTCTTGAGTCGAGCCCACCGATAGACTCCGACATCTCGCCCGCAAGCACTGTGAGCAAGGATAGAGACTCTTCACTGTTCAAAGTCGCTTCTCAAACTACCAGCACCGACTTCAACCCGGCTCACCCACCCATCACCGATGCTGCTCTCCAACAAGTGCGCTTGCGTCGTGCTCTGAGCGAGCGTACCATTCAGATGATCGCTCTTGCAGGAACCATCGGTACCGGTCTCTTCCTCGGTTCCGGTAAGGCTTTGGCCAATGCAGGTCCTCTTTCCATCTTGATCTCCTACTCGATTGTTGGTGTCATTGTCTACCTCACCATGGTGGCGATGGGTGAGATGTCGACTCTCATCCCACAGGCTGGTGCCTTTGGGCTCTTTAGTACTCGCTTTGTCGATCAAGCTTTTGGCTTCTCGGTCAATCTCAACTACTGGATCAACGACGCCGTCTCCACCGCCAACGACCTCATTGCCTGCCAGATCTTGCTCAAGTTCTGGGTTTCGGATGACGTCTTCCCTGGCTGGGCTCTCTCGCTTATCATGCTAACCTTCCTCATCTCGGTCAACGTCATTTCCGTTCGAGGTTACGCTGAACTCGAGTACCTGCTTTCTTTGCTCAAGATCTGCACCATCATCGTCTTCATTATTGTCGGTATCCTCGTCAATGCCGGTGTCAACCAGTCCAAATCTTATCTCGGTTTCAGATACTGGACCATCGGTGATGCTCCCTTTGTCAACGGTTTCGGCGGCTGGGTCTCCTCCTTTGTCACTGCCTCTTTTGCTTTCGGTGGTACCGAGTCGCTCTCCATCACCGCTGGTGAGACTCGCAACCCATCCAAGACCATTCCCAAAACCATTCGCAACGTCTTCTGGCGCATCATCATTTTTTACATTCTTGCCCTCTTCATCGTTGGTATCGACATCCCTTACAACATGCCCGGTCTCAAGTCCAAGAACGCCGCCGTCTCGCCTTTCACACTCGTCTTCCAGCAGGCTGGCTCGCATGTCGCTGCCAGCTTTATGAATGCAGTTGTCATGACCTCGGCACTTTCGGCTGGTAACCACGCTCTCTATGCTGGTACACGTGTGCTTCACGGTATGGCTACCAATGGACAAGCTCCCAAATTCTTGGCTAAGGTTTCCAAGAGCAGCCGTGTTCCCTGGGTCGCTTTGGCCGCCACTGCTAGTATTTCAGGTCTTTGCTTCGGCTCCAGCTACATCGGCGCCGGTGAGCTCTGGAACTGGCTTCAGAACCTTGTAGGTGTCAGCAACCAGCTTTCCTGGGCTGCTATCGGCCTCTCGTCCATTCGTTTCCGCAAGGCAATTCTCAAACAGCGCAAACAAGATACTCTCGTCTACAAGAATTGGACTCAACCTTGGGGCCCTTACGTCGTCCTCATCGGATCGCTCATCATGATGCTCGTTCAGGGTTGGAGTGCCTTCAAACCTTTTAATGTTTCCGACTTTTTTTCGTACTACATCGAGTTCGGATTCTTTGTTGTTGCGTTTGTGGTATGGAAGCTGTGGAAGAAGACCAAGTTTGTAGCTATCGAGGAGATGGACTTGTACACCGACACCCTTCAGTACGAGAAGGACGTCAGGAGCAAAAGAAGAGATCTCATCAAGCAGGGAGATGACAGATTGCCCATGTTGCTCGAGGACGAGGACGAGGAGGAGGACCAAAACCAAGACACCGAGCGCTCGGATAAGTCAAGTCAAGATGAGAAAAACACAAGAAAGCAAAAAGCTAAAGCATTTGCTAGCAGAGCTTCGCAGTATCTTTGCTTCTAAAAGCAACCATTGCAAAACGACACAAAAGCAACCATGTTCTGGCATTTAAGTCATTGCAATCATCGGGAATCTCTTTAATCTACACTATACTACGCTAGCGAGAGTGGCTGTGGAGACCTGCAGGACTGTTCGGAATACACACCAGATGAGAGTAGAGGCGATGAGGAATTGTGTATCCCTCTAGCCATGCTTGGCGGTATTGTAACGCCTGGGCTACTTGATGAAGGCCCAAAACTAACGTCAGGAAGAGGGCAAGCTTGGTATCTAGCGAATTGAAAGCAAGTGCGGATCAGGCCGAGTTACGGCTGACGAATGGGATACTGGGTGTGAAGAGAGCCAGGTAGGTGTGATCCCCAAACCAGGCTTGGCGTGTACCAAGGGCTCGAACACCACGCTTAACCTTAGCGGAGAAATATTTCGACCTACTCATCCTGCTCTTCCAGCGCGATGGGGAGGGAGGACTTGAGGTATACCCTGGCAGAAAAGTGGTTGGCGATTTCGATCACGTCAACACTTGCAAGAATGTCGAAACAAGAAGCGATAGGATTGTTTGCAACATTTACCATCAGCTGATGCGATGGTCCTCCTCCCGACTCAAACCGACATTCCACAGGGTCAGACCTAACCCAGGAAGGCGAGCCAAAGGGACCGAGCTACTCGATCGCCTTCTTCAACCAAGCACGCAGCAACATCGTGATTCAAGGTCCAGGAAACAAGTATCAGCGCATCACAGGAGCGACATTGATCAAGCAGGCTTTGGAGAGAAACAAACTCGGCGTCGCAGCCGGCAACTTGTCCCTCAAAGAGCGTAGTGCAGAAGAGCGCTACCACTGGTGCTGCCCCTGTTGCCATCAACTAAGAAGCCTCGAGCACGACCTCAGGAACAAGGACAGACTTGTTTGTCATCAGATGCACTACATATGTCGTTAAACAGATGTTTTATGCAGATTGCATGCTAACATAATGATAGTAACAATAACAGGAGAAGAGTGGAACAGAAGATCCTTAGTACGTGTGAACAAATGTTGCGCCGGTAAACCAAGGTTCAGTCCACTACCAATCGTCGTCCGAGCCCTCCTCGTCCGAGTCACCCATGTTCTCCTTGCGTTGGCTGAGAGCTGCAGCCAGAGCACTTGCAAGATCGCCATCTCCGCCTCCTGCGCCTGGGCAATCTGAACCTGAGGCAATGGCAGCAGCGGCTCCTGCTCCAGCTGCAGCGCCGCCAGCAACAGCAGCTCTGCCAACGGGTGGGGTGGCAGATGGATCGGTCTTTTTAAGATTGTGAACGCTTTTGCCTTGAATGGAGGCGAGCAGTGCGCCACGGCCGTCCTGAGGAGGTAGCACAGGAGCAGAGCCACCGGCAGGAGGTGGAGGTGGTGGCGGTGGAGGTGCACCACCGCCTCCCATAGGCGGAGGCGGAGGTGGAGGCGGGGGTGCGCTACCACCAGCTGTAGGTCGCATAGGAGGTGGTGGCGGTGGAGGAGGAGGTGCGCTTGAGCCGGCTGGCGCACGTGCAGGAGCGGGTGGAGGAGGTGGTGGAGCAGCAGCAGAGGAGCCTGCACCTGAACGCGGCGGAGGTGGTGGAGGGGGCGCGACCGAGGATACAGACGCTGTAGAGGCGGTGGCAGCGTGACGAGACCTTGGTGCCGGAGGCGGTGGAGGTGCTTTACGCTTGCTGGTCGGCGCAGGCGGTGGAACCTTCTTTGCCTTTGGAGCTGCAGGAGGAGGAGGCTTAGATGCGGCACCTGGACCTCCACGTTTGCCAACAAAGTCCTTGATGAAGCTCTCGTTCTGGCGGATATCCTTTTCACTGATGCCGAGGTTGCCGAGCTGCTCGAGAAGCGCTTGCCAGGTGGGGTCGACGTTTTCAGAGCTAAAGCCATGTTCGGTAGAGAAGCCCATGTGTGCCACATGCTTGAAGCCAGAGGGGGCGCCGATCATAGACTTATCGATCTTGCCGCCGGAGGTAGCCTTCTTCTTCTTGCTGCTGGAAGAGGAGGATTTGGACTTGGCATACTTGGAACGGTTTGAGACCTTCTTGAAGAGATCGCTGGCTTCGCTCTCGTCGGCGAAGGAAAATCCAATGAGGCACTCGTCACCTTCGAAGGAATGGAAGAAGGCGCGGTCCTGATTGTATTGAAAGCCTTCGTACAGCTCATGCTCCCAAATGACGCCACGAGTGCCTTTGAGGTCGACAAGCTTGAAGTAGAAAGTGGCTTTGTGAAGATCGCGGACGAAAGCGATGGCACCCTCAACGCCTGCGTAGCTCCATTGTGATGGGCTGGGATGGGCAGCATAGACACGACCGACGGTGGCAGTGATGATCTTGTTGCCAGAGGAGGGGATGGCGGACTTGACCTTGGACTTGTCCGAGGACGAGATGGTGGAGGAGGAGGGCATCACTTAAGAGTGTCGGTAGTGCTTTTCTCCAGTCCAGCGAGCGATGACGATGTAGGTCGAGAGGGGAATGAGCAGAGGCAGAAAGAAGATGAGGCTGTAGGGAAAGCGCAGATAGATGGATTCGCCGTGATGTTGGACTGCAGATATCGATTTGGCTGGAATCAAAAGAGGAAGCAGTCCGACTAGCAAAAGCACGACGCTTGATGCGATCAGGATGTTCGCCCTGTGAAGCAGAGCAGCGGGACTCGAGGAAGTGGCTGATGCACTGGTAGCTGAACTGATCGAGAAAGAGACTTGCCTGCCTCGTTGCTTGTCCTCCGTCTTCTCGTTGAGCATGCGATTACCAGCGTCGATTGCGGAAAGAACGAAGCTTGTCCTGGTATGTTCCTCGAACAAGTGTAGGTGGTCACGATGCAAGATGCGTTGCCGTTTCCGCTGTGCAGTCGCTGCTTGACCAGCCAGAAAGGTGGTGGAAGGGAGAGATGGCAGACAAAGAGATCAAAGATAGGAATGTGGTGTGAGGGTGTCAAGTGGAGAAAACAAGTGGCACTTACATCGCGTGTGTGTGTGTGTGTCTGTCAAGTGTCAAGTGAGCTTGGGCCATCGTTACTACTCTAGTCTCCTGCTTGCACCGCCCTCGCTTGATTGCATCGGGCAGATCTCAGTTTAGATCTTGAGGCAGCTGTGGTGTCCGTGGTCCAATGTGGAGTCTTTTCTGCGATTTTCACGCAAAATGCTCAGCTATGCTCAGCTAAGGAGGAGATGGTGGTGGTTCGGAAGCAACATCATTCTCAACGACCAACTCGACTTTCGGGACTGCGCAATTTGAGAAAGAAAAAAAGCTATCCACGTGATGCGTCTGTGCGATTAATAAGCATGAGCTCATCAACCCTCCTCGGCCCGAGGAAGGGCACTCATTATTAGTAAGCCATATATGTTACATTCCACTCAAAAACATGCCAACGCCCAACTGCTACTAATGAAAGAGAGGTGTTTGTAGACTCGGCTTAACATTGTTTGAAAATCAGCTGGTCTTTGAGGTCCTTGCCCGTGCCGAGTTCCGGCGTGGACGTTGCTACGGAAAGGTCACTACACAGAGCAACTTGTTTCCGCTTCCTCCTTCGTTATCTTGACTACAATCGCCATCAACACTCCTAACATCGGTTTACCAGCATCACAACACCCTCGGTCGCATGCATATCATCGGCTGTTCCGTCTGCTAAAGCACAGCTTCGACGCATCTGCTTTCAGATTTGCAGAACCGCCCACTGACATCAGCTCAGCTCATCTCTAACGATCTACACACTTGTCCGCCGATCGACTGTCATGTCGCTTCCAAAACGTATCATCAAGGTGAGTGCATCCACATTCGCTCTCCAGCGACCAGTGGTCGTGCTGCGTCGGTCCATGTATCAGCCTCAGTATATCTGAAGGGTCAATGCTAATTTGCTCTCTCTTCCATGGCTGTCAACAACAATGAACTGCGCATCGATTGATATATTGACTTGCAGGAGACCGAAAGGCTCATCGCTGACCCAGCGCCAGGAATCAGTGCCACTCCTCATGAGGACAACCTGAGATACTTTGACGTCGTCATCTCGGGTCCCACTCAAAGCCCTTTCGAAGGTAAGCTCTTCATGCAGACCTTGTCTCGTCGGATCACATTGATTGCTCATCTTCCCTCCTATTCCTTCTGCCATTTTGCTACTTTCAGGCGGTGTCTTCCGTCTCGAGCTCTTCCTCCCAGAAGAGTACCCCATGTCCGCACCCAAGGTTCGCTTCCTCACCAAGATCTACCACCCTAACATTGACAAACTCGGCCGCATCTGCCTCGACATTCTCAAGGACAAGTGGTCGCCTGCGCTTCAGATTCGCACAGTCTTGCTTTCCGTCCAGGCCTTACTCTCAGCACCGAACCCGGATGACCCGCTTGCTAACGATGTTGCCGAGCACTACAAGAAGGACGAGAAGGGGTGAGTTAGATCTATATATGCCTTTCTCAACTTCGCTCTCACAGCCGACTGACAAGCGATTCATTGTGTTGATCTTCTTTCATATAACTACAGCGCTATCGAGGTCGGCAGGCAATGGACAGCGTTGTACGCAAAGTGATCAATTCCAATCCTTACCATGTTTTGTAACGATCCTAATTACACAGCAGACGGGTGCATGACGAAAGACATTATAATACCAGCTACTTGTGAAAGAGGCGCTCCATCATGCTTCCCGCTTGGCTTGCAGGGCTGCTCTGTCTTGTCAAAGTGGATCAACTCTGCATTTTGCTGACGAGATCTTCAAACTTGCTTCGAGAGATTTGTAGGCCACCACTGCCGTCCATTTCGGGTAGGATAGGATCCTCGTGAGTTCCGCCAAGCACCGATGTCGTCCGATCCTCCTCTTCCGTCTCAAGCAGCGGCAAACGGATCGAACCGCCGTTCCGTGCCGCACGGCTTTCGTAGAACGCAATGCACATCAAAGGCGGTGCAAATAGGACCGACTGAACCGTGTAGTTGATCTTTGCGTACCTCTCGTGCGACACAAGCCATTCCAGCGGTGCGATCACCAATGCTTCCAGTAGGTTGAATGGCGGCAAGTAGACGAACTGATCTGGCGCTCGCACCATCGCAATCACCTTTTGGCAGAAGAAGGCTGCATACACTTGGTCGGCAGAGTCGACCACATCGCTGTACGCTGTGCCGAAGAAAGCGATCAAGATGTTGAGCAGAATCACCGCAGTGACAAAGCAGTAAGCGTAGTACAAGATGTGTCCGTAGGGATATCCAAATGCCTCTTGGCTCGTCAGTTGAAAGTCGGCACCACCCAACAGCGACTGCGTGAGTACGTCGATGATCTTGACCACCACATTGTCCACCCGAGACTCGTCGGCAGCATCTAGCGCCAAGAACCCGTGTCCGAAGCCGATCATGACCAAGGCGAGCAGCGTGAAGAAGATCGCACTTTCTTTGAACATGCGTAGGATGATGACTGTCAGAGTACCAAAGTAGACAAATCCATCAGCGACTTTGAGAAGCTGAATCCAGATCAGAGGTGCCACGCACGCCAAAAATTGGAAGGCTCGTAGCTGGTAAGTGTCATGCTTCTTGCCGTGCGCTACGAAGCTCGCCACACGGAAGCAGAACGACAGGAGAAGCAGGCCGTCTGTGAAGATATCCATGATGGACCAGAACTCGATAGCTCCCAGTCCGCCGATCTTGGTCCAGCGCGCGGCATCCTCAACGATGTAGCCTGCTGCCATCACCCATAGAATTCCCTCGAACACGTCGAATGACTTGAGCGTTCTCGTCTGAACAGTGAAGACGGCCAAGAAGAAGATCCAAAGAACAATGTTGGTGACATACGAGTACTTTGGTACACCGAGGCGCGAAGGATGCAAGTGCGAAAGAAAGGCTCCGTCGTCTTTCCTGTCGTAAGGCACAAAGTAGGTATAGCCGTGCTGCGAGTATTTCTGCACCAGCGAGCCTTCCCAGATGGCCTGCGTGGCTCTCCTGGCCTCGATGGAAGCTAGGACAGGTACGCAGTTCTGATCGATGGCAGCTTCCAGCGCCGAAGTGGGGATGGTCACGTCACCGTCGCTCTCGTAGCGGCGGAACTTTTTGGTCAAACATAAGTGGTACCTTGCACTTGGCGATCCTTTTTCCACGGCACTCCGCTGGATATGAGAGACGAGACGTTCAACTAGAACCTCACATGCCACTGCTCGCTTCTTGTTCAGGCCATGATCCAAAGGCTCCTTTTCGACGTCTCGCTCGAACATCTTGCGAGTCTCGAGGAGAGCGTAGGGGACAGCATCTCCAAAGTCACCTCCAAGCTCGTGGAATGCCGAGATGACCTTGGCATCGATAAGACCCTCGGATCCTGTGATCCTCTTCTCGTCAATGTCATGGTCGATGAGTCGAGTGACGAGTGATCTCACCCTGCGAATCAGAGCCGAAACGATGGCTGGGTGCACGTCGAGCTCAGCATCCAGCTCTCGTAGAGGTTCGTGTTGATCGATCGAGGCCATCTTGACGATCCTCTCGTCTCCGCTCTTGTCGCGAAGAAGCAGAGGGTAGTGAGCCAGGGATAACGAACCTCGATGGATCGAATGGTTTGAGGATACAGACAAGAAGATGCCAACATCACAACTTTCCCGTCTGCACTCAATCGCACGAAAAAACAAAACAAAACTAAGTAGATTGCAGGCAAAGACCCGTGAGGTCCTCGAAGCTTGACAAGCAGGTTCCCGGCCTGCCAACAGCTGCAGTGTTGCCTGTGCAGCAGACAGCAGTCACAGCAGAGGGGCCAAGGGCTCCACCAAGGTCAGGTTCAGAGGACCAGGTCCTGCCAAGAAGGACCTGTAGGGATGAGGGGTCCCTGCCAGGTCAAGTAGAGGGCAGCTGCAACCATGGTGTGCCACTCAGTTGCTGATTGGTCAACATATTGACAATAGCAGTCTGAGTTCCATTGGCCAAGAAGCTTGATGGTATCTGCCTCAACACCCTGTGATGCTGCCCAAGTGGTCACTCCTTGACAAAAAGAGTGCCCCACATATTGGGATGTGTCCAACCCAAGTTGAGAGAGAGCTGAGCAAAGGTGCTGGAGGAAGGTTGATTGTGAGAGCAGCCTGTAGCCACCATGCAACCCAAAGAGAGGGGCATCCAGCTGACAGACAGAAGGGCAGAGGAGGTGGAGCATAGTGTATGGGCATTCCACTCCATCAACTCTGGGGACCACAAGGGGGGGTTCCAAGCCAGAAGGGGTTGGTCTTTGATGCTGGAAGGGGAAGGATGGTGTAGTCATCCTGCCAGGTGACTGACCTGACCAGCAGGGGGGCCAGTGATGTCTGGCTCAAGGTGACCTCTCCACACCATAGGAAACAGGAGAAGGAGATGGTGAAGGCCGCAGTGATGACCTGGTGGTCCCAGGCACCAAGGGGCAAGGTCCAGAGCTGTGTCATGGGAGCCAGATGCGCAGGAAGCAAGAAGAGTTGAAGTCATATGAAGAGGAGTGCAGAAATCGCGGGATCGGGCTAAACGAGAGCTTTGTAAGCAGTCATGCGCCTGAAACCAGGTTGGGTGTTTCCAATTGGTTTCAGTGAGAACAATTGAGTAAGATCTACTCAGTATGTTTTGACTGAAAGTAACCAGACAGCTTTGTACTGGTAGGTCTCAGCTGACTGCCTTGAACACTCCATTCAGAGGTTGCACAGCACATCTGTTATTCTCTGGAGGGAGAGTAATACACTCTCCTTTACAGTACAAGTGTTCATAGTACTGTTGCTAATGCTCTCTAATGTTGTCTGGACTGTGATATGCCTATCACCTACAGAGGACAGGAGTTACTGGACTGCAGGTATTGGACACCACCTACAATAACTGACTGGACTGCAGATGTTGAGCAACACCACCTACAGTAAGGAACTGGACTGCAGGTGTTGAGGAACACTGCCTACAGTTGACACCTAATGGTGATACAACACACACATTTGAGGTGTTGTTGCAAAGCTCTGCTATTGCAATGATATGTAACTATGAGTCAAGTAAAGAGTATGTAAAGTATAGAGTAGAGTGGATAAGGATCCACTCGTATGCTATGGTAGAATGAGAGTATTTATGCATTTGCTTGGTGTTGCCTGTGACACCTCTCCTGCTCCTCCTGAGAGGCCTTCACCACCTTTCGACACTCTCTCTCTTGCTGGTGTTGATCCCTTTGATGCTGCACTTCTACTGCTCACACAGTGTATTGGTTTGTGCAACACTGCCCCTTCACCTTCATGCTCTTCTTTGCCTGGTGATGTGTGATGACCCCTTTGACACAGCTCCTCCTCCTCATAGACAATCCCCAGTCTTCTTGACACAGCTCCCTCTCTCTTCACTGGTGACCATCTTCTTGACCTTATCTTGTGAATCCCTTAACCACATGTCAGGCCCTGTTGCCAAGCCCCTTGATCATGTGGTTGCCCCTGTGCTTGGTCCTATGTGGCTGTATGCATATACCCCTTGAGTGGTAACCATCCATGTGATGCTGAGCTCAGTCCTCACTCCTGCATGTGGTTATCTCCCATATGCTTCTCCTTCTAATGCTGGTATCCTCCTTCCTGAATCTCCCAATGCTTGTTCATGACAGCTGACTTGCTGAGACATGCTGATCAGGCTGATTCTGATTGATCCTTGTGAGATTAACCAGGATCCTAGAGCTTTGTTGATCTTGCAAATCATATGCACTACCAACCCAATTAGGTCGTCAATTCCTGATGATTGCTGCAGATTAATTTGGCACACACTTCATGTGCTGACCCTGTGACAAGCTTAAGGCAGAGTCCACGGAGATCTGTAGCAGAAACGACTCTATGGCATAACTCGTCAGGATCAGTAGGAACGAGGTCGTTACTACAGAGTTTGGTGGGAATTGTAATATCACGCTGAGTATGACAGACCTCATGAGAATCGGTCCAAGAGGCACCCCATCACAGATATGACAAGGGGAGGATACCAAACAAGGGGGAGGACACCACCGGATGAAGCATGGGTCTGGCACGTGTCAGCGGTCATGCGCCTGAAACCTGAGATCTGTAGTAGTGTCAATACTATTACAGATCCTGTCGAGTTATGCAACAACACTAGTGGTATTTCAATTCTTGGTGAAATATGCAATAGAGCCATCTCTATCACTTTTCTTGCTCAAATCTGTAGTTGTAGTAATGCTATTGCAGATTTCAACTAACTGCTGTGGACACTCCATCCAGAGGTAGCTCAGCATGATCAATATCAATATGTAGGTATGATGACACCAAGGTCTGGTGTGAGTATCTTGTTGATGATGAGGTTGGTGGCATTGACACAAGTGTCCAGTGTGTCAACTATCACTTGAGGTGATCCCCAGACTGCAGTGGACTACTGCCTTTGGTTCTATCTTAATCTGGACTGCTGGTTTGCTATGAACTGCCTTCGGATGTCAGTGAGTGGTGATACAACACACATGCTACAATGAGAAGTAACCTATTGATTACTACTATGCTGACTGAAACTAATGAGTACTTATATGCTGAAGTAATACTAGTTTATATGGTGTAGAGTGGATGAGGATCCACTCATCCACTGATGATGAGAAGGCATGCTTTTACACATCTCATGCAGCATCACCTGTGACACTGCTCTGGCTCCCTCTCCAGAGAGTACTGTCAGGGGTCTCGCGCCTGAAACCCAGGTCGGTCTGTCGAGATACTCGGTGACTATCAAACTGTGCAACAGCTATTGTCTCGGTATCAGTGACTATCAAGTTGTGCGGTGACAGCAGGTGGCGTTCGTTGTATATACTATCGTAGGTTTCGGCTGACCTCTGTGGACACTCCGTTCAGGGGTAGCTCGGCACGATCAATATCAATGTTATGATGACACCAAGGTCTGGTGTGAGTGTTGATGATGATGAGGTTGATGGTGTTGGTGATGAGATTGGTGATGTCGATGATAATGAGGTTGATGGTGTTGGTGATAAGGTTGGTGGCATCAACACGAGTGTCCAGTGTGTTGACTTGATGCTTGAAGTGATCCCTGGACCGCAGTGGACTACTGCCTTTGGTTCTATCTATATCCGGACCGCTAACCTGCTATGGGCGCCTACGGATGTCAGGTAGTGGTGATACAACACACACACTACAATGAGGAGCAACCTTTGATGGATTGCTGCTATGCTGACTGAAACTAATATATACTTATGCTGAAGTGATAACTAGTTATGGTGAGTAGAGTGGATGAGGATCCACTCGACCTATTGATGATGAGAAAGCATGGTTATATACCTCTTCTCAGCATCGCCAGCGATGCTGCTCCTGCTCTCTCTCCAGAGAGTACCTTCTTCATCGAGTACTGCTCAGGGGCCTCTCCTGCTTGGCACCCCTGTGCCTCTTGAGCTGTGTCGACTCCTTCGACACTGCTCCTCTTCCTTTGACCAGTGACAGTTCCTTTGACTCTTGTCTCTCGAGCCCCTGAGTGGTAACCATCTGAGCTTGGTCCTCTTCGTGGCTGTGCCTGCTCCTTGAGCTTGGTCCTCTTCGTGGCTGTGCCTGCTCCTTGAGCTTGGTCCTCTTCGTGGCTGTGCCTGCTCCTTGAGCTTGGTCCTCCTCGTGGCTGTGCTTGGCCCTTCTTTGCATGTGAGTCCGTAGGAGTCCATGGTCTCCATGGAGACTGCACTACAACCATGCTCCCTACTGATCTCGACTAGATCTTCGATACCTGTGCTCCTTCCATATGAACCCGTGACCCTCCTGCTTCTTGAGCATCCAGGCCCATGACAAGTACCTTCTTTGTTGAGTGCTATCCAGGGGTCCCTGATGAGGCACCTCCTCCTCCTCGAGCCCTGCTTGTTTTGTTGCTCCTGTCCTTCTTGAGCTGTGTCGACTCCTTCGACACTGCTCCTCCTCCTCATGACCTGCTTGCTTGTCGCTCCTGTCCTTCAACCAGTGATGGTTCTCCTGACCCTTATCTTGCGAGCCCCCCTGAGTGGTAACCAGCTGCATGTTCCTGAGCTTGGTCCCTGTCTTGGCAGAGCTTGGTCCTCCTTGCATGTGAGTTTGCCATATGCCTGTCCTTGTCACTGATCTCCACAGAATCTGCCATAAGATCATGCTTACTACAGATTCTGGTGGGATTTGTGATATCAACTTTGTTTGTACAGATTTCAATGAGATCTGTCATAGAACTATGTCTACTACTGATTTCATTGAATTCTTCTGTAAATCCCACAATCTACCCAATTCCTCGATTCCTGCGCTCCCTTCATATGAACTAATGGGTCTTCTTACTTCCTGTGCATCCAGGCCCATGACAGCACGATGATGAAGTCGGTGCCAACAGGTGGGCGCTGACGACAAGAGGGTGATGAAAGGGTGTGGGTCGCCACTCAGATGAAGTGGGACTGGCCCCTAACGGAGATGAGACAGCAAGAGGTCCATCCATCCACAGGAGGCAAGGGAAGTGGTACCAATGAGTGGCATCACAAGATGGATGGGGAGGATAGTAGGGATGA